CCCCCCCCCCCCCCCCCCCCCCCCCCCCCCCCCCCCCCTTCTCCTCCCTTCTCTTCTTCTTGACTCCGATCCGATCGCTGAACAAGCTCGTAGAAATGTCCTCACTCTTCATACCCTCTGTCGAACGGTACCCCGTTCGACATTGAGGACTTTGGCATCGCGCTCTCGGCGGGCATCACGTGTCCGAAGCATGGATGGAGCTTCGACCTGTTCTCCGGCCAGGCCGATCGGGGCACGTACAGGTTGAAACTGTGGGAAGTTCAGCTCAGAGATGTGGAGGGCGATGGCGCTGACGATGCGGCAAAGGAGGTCTGGGTGCGAAGAAGACAGAGGGTGGGCTGATTCGTATAGAAGCTAAAGCGAGGTATCGGTGCAGATTCATGATATTTCTATTGTTTGGGTATCAATATGAGCAAACGCCAATACTATGCTGTGCATGGATCCGCCAAAAGACCAAGACACCGTTAAAAAACAGTAGCTCAAGTCCTAATCCAGCACGCCAGGTTTTTGAGAGCCGCCGTGAGACTTGAGCCGCCCATCTTCGGGTGCTTCTCTATGCTATTCATCTCTTCTTTCCTTTTCTCTTACCCTTCCCAACACTGCTTCCCACCTCGATCTGGCCGTCAATGTCCTCGCCCTGCTCTTTCAACTCCTGCAGTTTGTTCGCCCCACTAATAAAGAAGCTAAGATCACGATTCTGTTCTTCAAGCTCCCGCTTCTCAGCTTCAAGCTTTTGCTTCTCGCTATCGTGCGCTTGAATCTTAGCATCCAGGACTTTTAGCCTCTCAAGAAGACCTTCATTCACAGTTTTTTCTTCTTTCCAATCCTTAGCAAGTTTCTTAGCTAGTTGATCCATCTTCTCGGCCTTCTTGGTTGCGCGCTCGAGATCTCGTTCGAGAGACTTGATGCTGCTCTGGGCCTCACTGTATTGCGATTGAAGTTGCTGAAATGCATTCATCATGTCATCCAGCGCAGCAGTGGCTTTGTCTGCTGCGGCTGCAGCTTTGCTAGCTTTCTCTAAGGCCCGTTCAAGCTGATCCTCAAAGTAGGAGCGTTGATTCTCAAGCTGACTTTGCAGTAGATAGGCATATTCGTTTCCCATGGCTTCCATTTTCTCGCGGGGGACCATATCAGCGCCTAAAGCGCTCATGCCACCATCGATACGCTTGCCGTACGCTTCAGGAAGATCTACCATTTTTCCATCCGCTTTGTTTTGGATAAGTCTATGCACGTATCCATCACCCACGTAGTCCCATACATGCTGTGTAGCTATGTCCATAGCATATGCATGACCCGTCTCTTCAAAGTGGGCGAAAGCATGTGCAGAGTCATAGCGACCACATCCGACATTGCCGCATATAAGACAAATCCAGAGGTTCTGATCCGATTTACAGACACTGCAGACGTTCTCTGTTTCAGGCGAGGTTGTTGGAGTTCGGAGAGTGCCAGGCAGGGAGCCGTTCTGAGTATATCGGCATACAGGACAGCCAGAACCTCGCCATTTGGATAGACAATCACAGTGGAAAACATGCTGGCAAAGGATGGTCATTAAGCCTGTGGTCTCGTCCATACGCTCCAGGCATACAGGACATGTCGGAAGCTCGACGAGATTTGGTGGTGGGGGTGCGAGGGGACGTGTCGTTAGTGCCGCGGCAAGACTGTTGTCGGTTGTTGTGGAGACTGCCGATGTCTTCATAGACGGTTGCGTTTTGGGTATAAAAGGATCGTCAGTCATATTCGGAAAGCTAGATGGCTGTTCTGCCTGGTCTCCAGACTGGAAGGTAATGGATTGTACGAAGACTATGTGCGCGTATTCGGGCTCCATGCTGCTAAAGGCCCTGCCGTTGTACTCTTTAAGCCATTGCCTCGCTTTCTTGGGATCGCGGAATTTGATCAGCACCATGTAGCGATTGACTTTACTTGTCCGCACGAGCCGGAAATGGCTGACATCCTCGTGTGCCTGTTCGCCAGCCCAGCCTAGCAGATCAGACGGCATCATATAGGATGGTACGGCAAGAATGCAGACTGTGGAGCACTGATCCTGAGTGAACTCGCCCGACGCATAATTTTCCGCGATCTTAGAGGAATATGTATCGTCGTATAAGCCAGGCGTCTCTTCCTCGTCACGATACAGATGCACAACCCCATAACCAATATCCGTGTTCTTTGGATCCGCGGGAATAAATCGTGCTCGCGTTGCTAACCCACCGCCAGAGGACCGACTAGAAGAGCCGCCAGAAGAGCTGTTCTGGGTCATAGACTTTCCTCTCGGCCTGCTCGAGCCTCCGGGAGCAGACAAACTCCGATCCATGTCTATGCTTTCGATCGATATAGGTCCGTACCGCCAATCAGTGTGAATCCTTGATTCTATCGTTTTATAGCTGGTAGAGAGCAATGGAAAGACGGCTATTAAATTCACGTTAGACCCAGCCACTGTAACATCTCAACTCTTGAACTGCTTCGGAAGTGCAATCACTCTTACGCCTCCTGTTTGTGTTCGCATACCTGACGTTGAAAAGTGATCGATACCACCGTGCGCATCCGTATGAGCTCTTCTATGGCCCGGGCGATTGTTCGAAGCAGTTTTTAGCGGCGTCACGCCGTGCGCAGGCAGATCCGCCTCAAAGACGTCTGTCCCAGGTGAAGGAATGTATGCGTTGGGTTCATTCGACGGGCGATCTAGCTCAAATACAATGTGATAGTAATATGAACGAGGCATAGCTGCGTTCTTGGTTCATCTTGGGCAGTTCTGAGAGTTAGGAAACCAGGCTTATGAAAAGATTGGAATGTTGAAGTCAGAAACGAATCGCAGGTTCAAGGTGGCGTCATGCTCCCGATGTGGCGCACGCGTTCGAATATTCTTCCATGAAACTTCCGTGCACTTCCAGCAACCTGATCACGAGCATGAAGATCAAAGTTCGGTTCGAGAACTTTAGTAGCAGAGATGTAGGTTGTCGCCGTGCTAAAAGCTTTACAATCTCTCTCTATATGGCTTCGAATCACGCTGAAACACCTCCAAGCGGTTCCACCCATAGGACACCAAGTTTATCTCACCCTCATACGAGGCTGGAAAATGGTTTCTGCTTAGCCTGAATTGACGAGCTGGACGATGTCCAGCTTTGTATCCTTCACAGTCCTGTCATCGCTAGACAGTCGCGAACGCATCTTACAACAGAGCACGTACTGAATACGGTCCAGCGGCGTCTAAGTTCTGGAGGATCCCGAGCAACGCGTTGACGATCCTCTTACACACTACACGGTATTCGTTCGAACTCACAAAATGACAAAGGCTGCCCAGTTTACCAATTTATACGAGTGTTACACCACCCATTTTTTTTCTACATTAAATCTTATTTCTTTTTCTTCAATATGCCACAACTTCTAGCTACTTTCGAAGCATCTACCTAAGCAGGTGCTGTGCGTGATATGCTCCATCCGTATGTGTGTTGCTGGTATATCGGTATTTTCTTTCCAAATCTGCAGCTCACCCATGTTGTCTTCAGAAAATATTTCTTACCATTTTTACGATAAACTAAAGACGTAGCCGTCAAGGTTGTTGTGGATGGCGACCTCTATCTGCCGTGCATGGCGCTGCCATATGCTTTTGATTAGGAGACGTGATACAACAACGGCCATGCTCTGATAATCTCTAGGTGACCATGGACCACTCCATTATCTCAGAAATTAAGATTTCTTTTTGTGACAAACTATAAGCGATCGCGACACAGAACAGCATAATCGCGTCGATATGCTGCAACAACATCAGAGGCCACATGATCACAAACTCGAAGCACGCTCAAAGACGCGAAACCCTTGGAACTCAAGACCGATTTGGCCCTTGCGATGGTCATATTTGTGCTGTCCAACAAATCCGTGCTGATTTTTGGCAAAGACTGGGAGTAATCTATTAGATCGCAAACATGCTTGCGTGTCTTGCACTGTCCGCAATATGTCTTACATGGTTTCCTCGTTTTGGTCTACCACCTGAAAAGCAAAGGCTACAGAAGTCATATGACGAGAGTAGTTGCGGATTAGAGAAAGACATAGGTTCTGGGTCTTCGTTCGCCCGCATGCTCGCTGCTAACGGCTTGCCTAGGAAAGCTCACAGAGGCTCCGTTGACGTTCTTTACTCTCGAGCTCGTCACTTTACAACGTGAAACATGGCTGCATTCAGGAAAATCGAATTCTTAAAGGCAGACGGATTCAATTTGAGGGAATTTTATAATGCTGCGGGCGACAAAGAACTATGTATCATCATGAGCAATTGGGTTTGTTGGACAGTCCTTTGATGCTACTAGGCAATTCTGACACTGGTCACTGCAGTTTACAGGAACCAAGGAGCCCTCCTCGCCGATTTTGCGGAAAGATTTCAAGCAGCCGGCTATGCGGTCCTTCTCTAGGACAATCGCAATTGGGGCGAAAGCGATGGAGTACCAAGGCTCGAGTGTGACCTTACTGCACAAACGTGCGACTAACTTGCAGCTTTCACCTTCGCGGCGTCTTTTCCCCGAGGTTGATGCTAGCAACGTTGCATACTGAGGCAGCAGTCTTTCGGGTCGTAATGCAATCTGCGCCGGAGCCGTCGACAAACACGTCCGCGCTATCAACTCACAGGTTCCATTGTCTCTGGCGAGCTGGCTAGCATGGAGCTCGGTCCAAGGAAAGCTTCACTCGCTCTGATGGATCGCGCGAAACTTGCTAAAGTAGGTTCCTCATCATGTCGTTGAGACTAAATGCTGGCACATATGGTCGATGATGCAGACGAATGGAACGCACAGTGGTTGGCCAGAGCGAATTCGTGCAGCATTCCGCGTCACGAAGATTCGTATGTCAAGCTATGCGCGAAGTCTCCTAGCACCCCTATCTCCCTAGCTAGAGCTCGCCGTGTTCTTTGGGAGCGTACCGCATCCTCAGCTGCAAAGCGATCACAGACTGGCAAAGTCGAAGGCTTTTCTTGCGAGACTCCCACAGAAGCTGGCGGCGTTTTCCTCCCGCGCACACATATAGGGTCCATAGCCAGCACATAGCGAGACGAAGACAACAAAGGTTGCTGGTATGTCTCTGGGGTTTTGCAGGTCCAGAAAGCGTGTATTTTAGAAGAATTGATGCTTGGACGTGACCAGGAAGATTCCCATCGCCTCCTCTGATTGATGGCCGAACTATCCTGCCCTTCAGCTGGACGGAACCCACGCGCTGCAGTATTGCGAGGCTTTTGTCAGACGGACGATGACCAAACATCGTCATGACGTTCAAGACGTGTTCGTTAGCATGGCCTCTAGCAACCAGGCTCGGAGGTAACTCTGCCTAATACTTGGCATCAAGTACAGACAACAGCGATAAACTTATCTAGATATGCCCGCCTCTGCTTGTGGTCTAGTCAAATCAGCTCAAACGATCGAGTAGATATCGAGACATGGCCGCCTCGGATCCGCGTGCTTCATCACGGTCCATACAGCCTTAGACGGCCCAAGCAGAAATGCTTGTGTTTTTGGGGTAATTTTGTCTGGCTAACAACGAAGCTCAAGGTCCTCGCACGAAGATCTACGAGCTTGGTTGGTATTTTTAATGTAAAACTAGGGCTGTGTCTCCTATCAATGTTTTCCCTCTGCGCGCCTGCCAATTGGAGCGTTCTGTGACGACAAGTCGCAAATGCGAGAGCCATGAATGGCACTTGGGACAGTCACATTGTCTTCACGATTAACTTAGGCCGTCTATTCCTACAAGCACGTCTTTTATCGTCCTCCATTCCATCTGCTTGTGCTTTCAGGCTGTTCTGGGACTTCGTTACAAGCCATGGCGTTTCGTTGATTACATGGTTGTGGATTGTCTCTGTCAGCAACGACTTAAGCTAGGCGGGCATCAACGTCGCTCTTGTTGGTCTCTCGTAACAATTTGCGGCCCTCGTTGTCTTTGCAGTCCTCTTGATTGACTTTGCAGTACGCAGCCGTCCTGTCTAAATGGTATTGAAGATCTCTCGGCAATATAAACATTGCTGTGTTGGACCGTCCGCTGCGGTCGATATATTACTCCACATTTGTGTCCATAATATCTACGAGCTCAACGAGCGCTACTTAGCGAACAGCGAGGCTCTGCGAGGTGATAAACTTGCTCCTCAGCCTTAGAATATGTGTGGCGTACTTCCAACTATGCAGACGAACTTAAAATTGATGGTTATTGCTGAATGACAGCAGAATTCAGTCGTGAGGAAGACGCAGTCTTCCAGTCGAGTTATTGAGCGACCAGTCTGGCTTGCGAAAAAAAAAATAATTGCCTCCAGATCCAACCTTTGATGTCAAATACGCAGCAGACTATTGGAGGAGTTGGCTGAAGAATTGAAAACGTCTGGTGCTCAATCTCGGGAAACAAGAAAGGAGAAAGAAAGGCAAAAGAAAAAGAAAAAGAAACCCAATTTGCTTTCTATGCAGAACTCTAACGTGGTAATGGATTCATCGTGGTTTCTAGCTGCTACCATGGTGTAAGTGGGGACACCACAGAAAACGAGGAAAGACTTGTCTACTTATGCTTCATGACGAACCGCTCGAACCAAAACTGAGCAGGAAGAGAATCAAAATCTTGCTAATTCACTCGAGAGCATCAAGCAGAACACAGAAGACGAGCGGCGTATATTCGGATACTCAGTCTGAACCCCGTTCTTGGGCTGGATCAATTTTGATGATCCTTATCCGTGAAGGAGAGAGGATCAAGACTGATTTGTACTAAGTCAGAGTCGTGATTCGCGTAGCATATCACGATTTTTTGTTCCTCATTGTATCAATTGAATCAACGTAATGCAGGTTTGTGCATTAGTGGTCTAAATTGCGTGACGATCAACGTAGGGAAATTGAGAAGCAAGAGCCGAGACACACAAGTGGTAACTCATATTGTCATTTCATGCCGCTTATGGCGAAGCGACAAAAAAAATCCATGCCCTTGACCATACGCCGGCTAATTTTGTGGACACGCCCTGTACCATGATGCATTCCTTCCACCTCTGCGCAAAGAGACCCCCGCCGCTTAGATCTTAATAGCGGACTCAAGAGCCTTCCTCTTCTTCTCCTGTCGGGCATTGGCCTTGGCGCCCATGATACCACCACCCCAGTGTCTTCTGCTCTCCTCATACTTCTCAGTGTAGCCATCCTTGATGGCAGACACGAGCTTAGAGAACTCGGCCTTGTCCTCTGACCTGACCTCAGTCAAAGCAAGAACGGCGGCAGTCTTCTTGTGGACGACAGTGCCGAGACGAGATTTGCCCTTAATGATGGCGTATGGAACACCCATCTTGCGGCAAAGAGCAGGAAGGAAGACAACGAGTTCGATGGGATCAACGTCGTTTGGAATAAGAACGAGAGAGGCCTTCTTGTTCTCGATCAGACCGACGACGTGGTTGAGACCGTACTTGACTGTGTATGGCTTCTTGCTGACATCTTCACGCTTCTTTCCTTCCTTGATTGCAGTTGCCTCCTTCGTCAAACGCTCCTTTTTCTCGGCCTTCGTCTCTGGTCGGTACTTGTTGAGGAGTTTGAAAACTTGGGCAGCCTGGTTGCGGTCGAGACTGATAGAGCAGTTAGACAACATTCAAATAAAAAAATGATGCCAACCCATACACGTTCTGGAACTGAGCAAGCGCCGGGGGGACCTTGAGGCGCATGCTAAGGATCTTCTTCTGGCGCTGAAGGCGAACATATTCAGGCCACTTGACGAAACGGCTCAAGTCTAAGTCTGTCAGTAAATTTGAGTCCACAAGAGGAATGATTGCGATTATGCATACTGCGCTTGGGCTGAATGTCCTGGCCGATGCCAAAGTTGCGTGGCCGCTTCTCAAGGAGAGGGTTCTGCAATCCATTAGTACATCATTTCGTAACTCTTGGTAATGTCTTACCTTGGGGGCCTTCTTGCTGGATGAACTCTTAGCCGCCAGAGGCGCCGCGGCGACCTTGCGTCCACTCTTTGGTGCCTATACACAAGCATATGTTACCACAATATTCTCATTCCCATTGGCGGTCATGGAGGAAGGGGGATTCCAAGCAGAATTGGTCGCTCCCTCTTCGCTCTAATTACAGGAACCACAATCATGTGCCCTGTAACAAAGCCAACAATCTCTTCTCATGCCTCAGTGACGTTGTGACGACAGTTGACCCCAGCACGATATCGTGCTGAAACCCAACACCAGTGACAGCGCAAACGAGGCAATTTGATGCAGCGCATAGTATGCGAAGATATTATCAAGGAAGCGAGCAATCCTACTTTCAGGATGCTATCGAAGAGATGCTCATACCATTGTGTCGAATTTAGGCGGTTCGCTCAGGTTTGTCGTCGCTGGTAAAAAAGTTTTGGCCGTGTGGAATTCAAAGATGAGATGTGTGCGGAGCGCCAAGGCCACCAGTACTAAAATGCTTAGCGCGATTGCGTGTGATCACGTGACTAACATGTATTCTTCTCAGGCGCCCTGATTCAAGAAATGTTTCCAGCACGAAGGACTCCGACTTTCCTTGCAGCGTCAAGCCAAGGCAGATTGCAGTCGCAAATCAAGCAAAAAATTCCGACCATCATTTAGAGGCCAATTCTACCTAGTACAAGTATTCAACATGAGAAAATAAAATCCGTAGCGTAGCCGACCTACATTGCCGCTAGAAGCAACTGTGCAAGTCAAGACGACCTACTAAAATCGTGAAAGGAATAAAGTGGCTAAGGAACATCTTATACCCAAAATGCTTATTCCGACTTGATTACAGTTTAAAAAGGTTGCAGATGACAATCAAAGTCGCGGACCGAACAATTTAGCTCAAGCCACGTCCATCTGCGCGGTAGACAGGGAGATGTGTCCAGAGTGACGTTGATATCGCAGAAAATTTAAAGCTCACATTGGGAATGGCAAGCGTGTTTCTGTCGGACCCAAGACTGACAGCGTAGTACGAACGAGTACGGTTCCTGCCTGCGCATGATCCAAAATTCTAGCAGGTATGAGTATCAATGCTGTAAAGTTTGAGATTCGCAGTGTTTTTGTGCTACGGATATTCCTCTGGCTTGATTGGGGTCAGTCTCGGTATGCATTTTACCATTCGAAACCAGCTTGAAAAGCCGCGATATACGGAGAGCTCCGAGCAACACAATGGCTACAGTCACCAGATGTGCAATCATGATATGGGTACGGTCCTTGTTTGCATCTATTCGTTATTTCATGAGACATACATTTTCACTAGAGTAGTTTGAAATAAACATTTGGACTCATACTTTCTTTCCCTTGTCTCTCAAATACGTGCGACAAAAAAAAAAAAAAAAAAAAAAAAAAAAACAAGGCGATATTCGCGGCTTAGGAGGCCAGAATCGACGTCTAGAGATAAAACATGGACTCTGCGAGGTCTTGGTGGACCCCCCGGCTCCACGAAGCACCAGTACTAGAGAAACTTGACACGCTGCTCAAGTCGTCGTTCATATCCTGGTAAAGAAACGCTCGAAAGCGCTCAGCCGCCTTGTCTGCACAGTACGCGGGTGGACAAAGTGAAACGGCTTTCGTGGCGCGGTAGAATCCGTAGCACATAGTGTGGATCTATTAACATTAGAATCTGCTATGAAAGAGACAAAAAATAAATTGAAACTCACTGATCGTTCGAGGTCAGCAGCTTTCATGCCAGTCTCATTTTTGATCACGATGTAGTGACAAGGCTTTGCCGTGCCCTGCAGCGCCTTGTGTGGCTGTAGATACAAATCAAAGGCGTTTTCCCCAAAACCAGTGATATGACGATCAACTACCAAACCAGGAGCTGGATTGTGAGATCCTCTATCGTTGCGTACATCTGAATCTTCAACCTTGGTAGGGTAGAAACGCGTGTGGTGGCGTTTGCTGCATACCTACGCAATTTTAGTCAGAAAATACCATTATATCTTGTGGGATGCTCACAATGATGGAAACCTTCGGGTGCTTTCCAGCACCATATATTTGATCAAACGCTTGCTGCATAAGCCTGAACTCAACCTGCAGCACCTGCTGATACTGTCCTTCAGAGACACCGTCACGGAAGACTATGACGTCGGCTGGGCGTTGACCTCCGTTATGCTTCTGCCATGACTCGATAGCAGCAATCAAAAGACTTGGCAAGACTTCGATCATCTCCTTACGTGAGGTCTGGGTGCAGCCATCAGCGAACCACGCAGACAGAGCTGGATCTTTTGCCCATGCAATAGCGGCGATGCTAGGCGCCGATTTTTTGCTCATAGGAGACGGATGAGTGACGTCAAGGCCAATGACCATGGTTTTTTTGGTGATTATCGGCATTTCGTTTGCATCGAGAGACCAAGGTTGGCCACCAGACTTAATCGAAAACTTTAGCGCAAGATTCGCAACCAGCATAAGATCACCGCGTCCAATCTTGGCAAGATTGGATTCTTGAACAAGAAGAGTGTTGATCCCGTGCTTGTAGTCGCCCAGAAATTTGACAATGGCATAGAGAATGGCATTTTTCTCCGGAATCGAGACCAGAATCCAACGAATACCTTTATCCTGCTTCGCGGCTACAAACTTGGCATCCAGCGACTGCATAATGTATGTGAAGCTGTCACGATCGATATTGTCAAAAGATACTGGATTAGTAGGGGCGATGTAATTCGACACGGTAACACCATACTTTTGCAACTCCTTGGTGATTGTTTGTAGTGTGTCCTCGAATTTGATTGTATTGACTCCATGATTCCTGAGGCGTATTTGGAGCCCAGTGAAGCCCCCATTTAATGCCGAAGATTTAAAGAACTGCTGGCCTGCCAAGTTCCAACTACCGTCTCGTGGGTTTATGGCTTTCCGGAACTTGATGGAAGCTGGCTGAAGGATTCGGCCAGGGACCGTGAGCATGTTGACGTTTATCTTTATTCCAGCATTTCCGATTGTGCTCGATTGCAGGTTACCAGCAATTTGCATTGTCTGAAGGCCAGACGACTCTATAGATTTGGCATTCGCATTAGGTGGGCGAGCAGCGAAGCCTATCATGGTCTTTGTTTGGTTGGCGGAGAGAATTCCTTTCGCAGGCTGTCCTGCTATGACAAAGCAGAGCTCCGGCGGAATAAGCATCGGATCTTTCTCTGTACCGCAATTAATGACCGGAAGATCTGGGCGTCTAAGTTGTATGCCATGCTTCCGAGCAAAATACTCTGCAACGCTCACGTTAACAGTATTTCCGTCCTCCGTGTATTCAAATCGAGTGCTTTGACAATTTTGAGCGTATGGATTTCTCACAAACCCCGCAACTGTACGTACACGGATCACTTGTCGCTCAATGCCCTTCTCGTCCTTCTCTTTGATATAACGGGTAGCAACCTTGAGACGCTTGATGAAGTGCGCACAGAGCCTCGCATGATGTTCATTGCTGAAGCGGCGACCCCCCATAAACTTGACCATCAACTCGTCCAAGGGAATGGGCTCGTAGAAAGTGCCTGTAGCCACGTTCACGTTGACTAGTACACGCTTTGGACCGAGTCGTACAGACGAATAGTAGCCACGAATCGCAACCAAGCCCTCCCCAAGTACCCAGCTCTCATAATTTTGATGATTTGGGATTCCGAGAACTGGGTGATCCCCTAGAGGATAAAACTTATTGTTGGGTTGAGCAGCAACACGTTGGTGAACTCCTGCAGCATGGTTAAAAATGATGTTCATCGCCTGGACTACATCACCTTTCGCGGCATATGCGCCGGTCGCCGAACCTGAAACGTACTTGAAAAGATCGTTCAAGTCGTAGGAAGTTGTATATTCCACTTTGATTCTCCTGGTTTTTCGTACTCGGGCGGCCGCAATGTGCGCTGCCTCGTCGGGTTTTTCGGCTGGATACGGAGCCTCCAAGCGTTCGTAGATGATGACTTTGAACTCTCCGCGTTCTTTTTGGGGCAGTTTAAGTTTTGCGGTTGTGAAAACATTGGCGGCCAGGTCGCTGTAGTGAACAACTTTGGAGAAGGGCGCTTGCTTGAGCAAAAGCTCAATGTAGCGCCGCTTTTTTGTTCGGCTCAGTCCATCCTCCTTATCAAAAGCAATCGAGTAGCGAAAAACGATGGCGCGCTCCTTGAGTAGACGAACATCGAAAAAGTTTGTGCGTAAGATCACAGGACGACCTGCAGTACCAAAGCCAACTCGCCTGGGAAGGCCATCATAGATCGACAACTTGCCTAACTTGCTGGCAGTGTCGGTGATGAGATCATTCTCAAATTCAGTGATGGAATCATCAGGCACTGGGACCTCCTCTCCCATCCTAGTCGGAATGTTAGTGAAGTAAATCCATGTGTGGGGCCCAGAGCGGACCTGTATATGGCTGGATATATACGGGGAGGCATTTGCATGAGGGCCGATCCATAATCTCCACGGCCTCCTCCTCTCCCTCCTCGATAGCCACCACGATCCTGAGCGCCTCCACGGCCACCACGAAAGCCACCACGATCGCCTCGACCCCAGTCTACCGAGCCTCTTCGCGCATCACCACCACGCTCGAAGTGGCCCCCTCCGCGTGGACCGCCCCTATCTGAGCCGCGACCTCTGTCCGAGACACGGCCTCTGTCTGAACCACGGCCCCTGCCACGACCCCGTTCACTCATTGCAAACGCTTCCTACAAGAAATTCCAAATCGATGACGCGAAGAAGATCAAGGCACCGGCCAAGAATAGTTGGTGAAAGTACCACGCGATCTTTGGTGCCGATGTAAAAAAAGACCAACAGGAAAATGCAATGTCGCTCCAAGAGTATGGGATGTTGAGTGCCGACTGCTCTTTCGCGAACGCGCTGCTGGAATCCAGTCCAAGTATTGCGCAGCGGCTTCTAGCCTGAGGGGTTTCCGATCTTATCAATTGAGTACCAGCAAGCACCTCGACGGCTGCTGCACAGACCTCGTCATCTGAGTTTGGATAGAAATTTATAGGCGAGGGGACATGAAAGAGTCTTGAACTTGAAACTTGGCTGTCGAGTTCTTTCTTCGCGATTCATGTAATGCTCTTAGACCATTTAAACACGCGTTTCTACCAAGCGTGCCCTTGCTCACAATGGCTTTTGTCGTGAAGCTGATAGCAGAGACCTGTCGTCTAGAACTAAGATCAGTGCGAAAGGCGGGGGAAAGGAGTCGATTCAAACTGATGTGCAGACCAATGTAATTGGCTGCAAACAGTACGAGTTGCCGTATCAGCGCTCCACGCGACGAGACCAATGATCTTGAGCTTGGGCGAGAGATTCGCCTCACACGAGCCACAGGTTGAATCGCTGTGCACATCTCTCCTCGCAAAATTTCGATTGCTGCCACTTCGCCTGGTCTAGTTGTGGGCGGTGAGCGATGACTAGCTCTAGTGGTGGCAGAAGCGCAACTTAGGCACTGCTGCAGTCAATCGGGTGTTGCGGACGGACACGCTAATGTCGGCCGTGCAGCACACTGCTGGTCAATTGTCTTGGCCTGGTCTCCGCTGATCTTCGCTGTTCTTCGCTGCTTAAATCGAGACCTACCAAGATGCTTTCGCAGTTCAGTAGCCTTGCTCCTCTCTCACTTGACTTCAGATAAGCGCATCGTGACTTTGGTAGACATCTTTCTGGCGTGTGCAGGCTGTTGATTCAAGTGGTTCTCCACGTCCTTCATCTCGCTATCTGTCTCTGCAAGTCTATTTGCTACGACGACCTCCATTCATAGTAAAATCAACCGTGGACATTCCGAGATCTGATTGCCTTGTCGCCAATGGGCACCCATGAAAGGGAAATGCCGAACCAGTCGCTGGTGGTGTCAACCACTGGATGAGAGCAGAGATGACGTGGCGAGGTCGTGGCCGCACTTATGAGGAACGCACACCTAGGGATGACCTACAATCGTCCTGCAGCTCGTGAGAGAGTCGTATCCGGACGGAATCGCATTCAGCCTCGCTCTCATACGCCGCCCAGAGCAGCACACCATGCCAAGTACCATGTTCGACTCGCTCCACCATCCAGCCAGGCACAGTCAAAGTCCTTTCTTACAAAGAACTCAAAGGCCGTCTTCGGGTGTGCGAGCGCCAAGTTCGCGTACAATATGCCTCTCCACCCGCCGCCAACCTGATCTGCTCTGCCATCAGAAAAATATGTCGCCCACTCTTCCTTCACGAAATTTGCGGTCCGGACCAAGGAGGAAGGTGGCGCCAGAGGGATCATGTGTATTCCCTGTATGTACTCCGAGTTCATTCCAAAGTACGTCGCATGATCGACTTTGTTCTCGAAGGTGATGCCGGTGACTTTGTTGGGAAGAATCTGCCGAGGCTGCGTTGTGTTGCTGCTCTCCAAGAGAAAGTATGTCTGAAAAACACGAGCCTGGATAGCCAGCATGAGGTTGCCTCTGGCCTCTAGGTTGGCATCGCCGCACGTCTTACCCCACATTTTGAGTGCATATGAAGCAAAAGCGTCTTCGGATGTGCTCTCTTCGTCCTTTCCATCCCCAGATTCGAAGAGTCCTTTCGCCCAGCTGTGGCCGTGGTACCAATCAAAGGAGCGGAAGAATGGAAATTCGCTGTCATTGACCGGATTCGCAAAGTCGCGGACGAGCATGTCGACCCATGCTTTGTTCTTGCCTTGCCCAAGCCATTCTGGATCAAGATGGCCAATAACGGCCGCCGCGTAGACGTAGTAACCATAATGCTATATTGTTTCTTAGTGCTCTTGAACGCAAAGAGAAATAAAACAGACCAGTACGTACGAAGTGGTGGTCGTTGTAGTACCCATTCCCAAAATCCGCACCAGCGTTATTCATCCCACACTTCGACACTACTCCCTTCCAGCTCTTCTCGTACACTAGGGGAGTGCGTTGCCGATTCTCTACGAAGATCGCAAAGGCCTGCTTCAGCTTATCCAGAACCCTCTTGGCTAAATTTTGCTCGCCTGCCATTTCGTGCAAGGCGATGGCCATCATCGCAAATTTTCCTAGCCCTTTACCACTGAAGTACATGCTGTCAAGATTGCATTGACCAACAACATCCTGATCTATCTCTGACCTGCCAGCTTCGACTACCGCAGCGGCCGCTAGAGGACTCAAGTGGATTGGCAACTCCTTGGTCGGCAACCAGGGGCTGAAGCCCATATCAACTGGAAGTTGTTCTTTCATCTGCCAAACATCTGACAAAACAGCCGTTGCCATGCCTTTTGTCGTTGTCCTAAGTCGCATTGGTGTAACATGAGTTGCAGTAGTTCGTGTGAAACTGCTGACATGATGATCCAACGCGTACATAAGAAGTGGTTTCGGTAGCCCTCCTTTGCTCCAAGCCAAGGTGTAAGTTCCTTGGTTGCCATGGCTTCTGGCCGAAATTGTACAGGAACTAGCGAAGGATCCGGCACTCCTGTCGTAGTAATCCTCGGAGTTCCCTGGAGGCAGCTTGGCGACTTGGACGATGCCTTGAAATCCTGACGGTCCTTCAATAGTCGTGTTATTTATCCATTTGAACAGTGGTACCGCAGAGCCATTGCCAGCTGGCAGTGACACGTACAACAACCACGTTTTCCCATCTTCAAGAATAATCCTCTGCTTAGCCGTAGATCCGTTATCTAATATGCCGGCCGGCTGCAAGTCGCGGAAAAAAACAGATGATTCGATGAGTGGAGTACAACCTCTGTACAGTGCTGTAACGAAGCCCATGCCCTGTACAAGTGGCAGAGTCATTACCAGCGCATTATCGGCGCTTGAACTGAGATTCGCCTTTGCGGAGAAAGCACGCGGCGAATCGATTGTTAAGCTACTGTCCTCTCCCACTTCTTTCGCAGACAAAATGACTGACTGGATTCCTACACGGACATCCGAACGTTAGCTAAGCGAATAGTAAAGAGATACCATAGCGTGCTTCTGACTTGGACATACCAACAGGGTTGATGTAGTACTGGCTTCCGCCGTTTGCTTTTGCCGGCCCAAAAGCAAGCTGCTCCGGGTCAACATGATTCACTGCAATGCCCCAGCTCCTCGCATTGCCCTGTCCCTTTGACCAGCTCAGCGAGTACGGATGTGTCCAAATCGAGCAATTTTGCCCACCGAGTAGCCAATTATTGTAGAATGCATTAGTTTGCAAAGGTTCCTTTTTGCTTCCATAGCTCCAGATGAGGTCTGAAGGCACCGGGTGCCCATCACAGGCTGGAATAGGAATGGGCCCACTGTTCAATGGTTCGAATATGTCAGTTGATGCCTCGAAAGAGTGTTTCTGCGTGGCATCGTGGTACGCATCGCCAGGGGAGACTTGGGGTGCCAGATGCGACGATGATTCATTGGTATGCTCTTGATTCGCACCATAGGATTGCACTTGGGGGCCTGGCCTCATAGTCTGCGCATAGTAAGGTTGCGGCGACTGACCACTGGTTGGCGGAGCTGTAGGAGGGATATGCTGCTGGACTTCACATGTTGGTTTTGTAGCCATGTTAACGTAAGGTGCAGGCGCTTGGTGTGGGAGATAGTTTGGTGCTTGACTTGATGTGGCCTGGGAAGCCTGTGAAGGATAAGCGTGGTCATATCCATACACATTGGATGGCGCTGGTGCGAAATATGGTTTGTTCGAACTGTGATAATGGTGCCCGGGATACTGTGGGCTATTGCCATGCTTTTGCTCCTCGTACTGACGATACCGGTCCTTCGCGGCGTCAAACGCTTCTTTTGCCAATTTGCGGAGCGACTGATTGATTCAGATTACCAAAAACGCACGAATTTGACATTTTACGGGTGTCTCACCATTGTCTTATACACCGGACAGTTCGTGACAGAAATCCGTTACGCCTACTGAGGGATTTCGTGGGGTCTTAGACTCGACTTTGCATTCTCGGGAATTACTTCCACATGCGCACGGGTTGACCGTGTATATACAGAAATGCGGGCGGAGGGTTTGAGCAATAAGTCAAGAAGATGGAGATGCAAGACGCATTCACAAAGGTTATCAAATCTAAAGCGGCATTTGTACCCTTTGCACCACGGTCACTACGACATTGGAAACCCCGCACAGACCTCTCCCATACTACATCTGCAAAGTCTGATTGTAAAGTGGACGTGAACAAGAACACTAGATCTCCATCTCGGAAAGGAGGCCGTGCCTGAAATGCTTAGATTCAATAATACTCTAGATCAGGGGCTTTTCCATCGGCCTGATGACCGCTCCCGGCTTGATCAATACCCGAGGTTTGATATTCTCTCGGAAGGTCACCGTTGTATTCCACTTTTCTCCCACAGGCATACGAATGCTGCGTTCATACTCCTGCTTGCTTCCGTAGACATGCGGCAGCTCGCTGGCAAGATACTGTGCATTTGCTTTGTTCCGCTTCTCGTTAATGACCACGCCCTTGAGCTTAGCATCCCGACGCTTGCTGCGTTCGATGCCCTCGATCTTTTTGAGCTGGTTCGCGTGTGGTGGCCGTTTTTGTTGCTGCTTCTCGCGCTTGGAGAGACCGGCGCCGACCCAAGAGCCCCAACCGGGTAACGTGGTGTCAACGACTTTCGGAGCATCCTCTTCAATATCGGCGTTCTTCTCATCTTCGAAGGCGTCCTCAACATCATCACCGGCGAAGGCACGACGTAGAATCTCCGTTTGGTCCATGGATGCGTTTCCGTCCTCTGCTTCTGCTGAGTTCGTTTCGTTGTCGGAGTCATTGTACGTGACTGTAATCCAGCCATCGGAATCAGGCTGGGAGTGTTTCTCTCTTGGTAGCAGCTCGATTCCGGTGTCTCCACGATCCGCTCTAGACTTTCCCCCTCTTGCTGAAGGCTTTGCTTCAGAAGTTGGACGTGTTTCTTCCGTACCTTTGCTCGATTGCGCCGTTAACGCATGACTCACAGTTCCATTAGCCTCAGCGATGGGTTTGTCCGTCACAATTTCGACTTCGTCCTCACCCTCCGATTCCTTCTCCTCGAACTCTCCTCGAATCTCTCTTTTCGCCCCTGAGGCTTTACTTTGTGCATGACCATTCGGTGCGAAGATCTTGCGGCCAATATTTGCTTCCTCTTCCTCACTATCTGTGGCCTCGGCATCCCCGTTGAGTTCCTTCTTTATCTGTCTCAGTGCCTCTAAATTCTCCTTCTTTCTCCTCGCCTCCGCATCGCGCATGAACTTTAATCCATACAGCTTACTTGCTTTCTCATCCACATGCTCGTCCTCTTCAGCCCTTTGCATTTGTCGCTGCAGTCGTCTAAATTCCGCTGCATCATCGTCACCATCCACCGCGTCTTCATCGTCTTCACTACTAGAAAACAGGTCGTCGCCACTCGCATCTTCATCTCGAACTTCCCTGCCCTCAATTCGTCGCCTCAACTCGTCGCTCTTGCGTGCCATCTCGACGACGCCAGATATCGCCTCGTCATCCCATATAGTCCGCCCACTCTTCTTCATCTGCTTTGCCCATTTGCTGTCTTTGTGTTTGAGGCGCATACGCTCCTCTGCCCTCCTCCGTTCTGCCATTTCCCTCTCTTCCTCGTCCAACTCGATACCTCCACCCTCCGCAAATGCGTCTCTATCAATTGCGGCGAGCCTTTCTTTCTCCTTGCGCTTGATTCTCCGGAATGCTTTGCTCTTGATTTTCTTGATGCGTTTGGCGCGAACTTCTTCACGGAACAACAGCTCCCTCGCCTTCCTAAGCTCAGCACGACGTGCTTGTACCTCCTCAAGCGGCAGTTTGTTCACGCCTAGCTCCTCGAATTCTCGCAACTTTTCCTCTTCCTCATCTTTTTTCCCACTGCTCAGCCCACTCTCGACCATGATGCTCTGAATTGTGGCTTCCAAGTCGTTAAATGGCTTCTGGGATGGTTGCGTGACTGCCAACGAAAACTTTGACGACTTTCCTTCATTGGCATCCATCAACGGGAAGGACAAGTGTTCTGCCTGTCGCTGGTGTTTCACAGTATCGACCCAGCGCTCGAGAGTCTCCTTAGCCTTCTCGTTCGCCGCGATACGGTCTAGACGATCCCTTTGTCTCTTCGGAAGACTGGGTTCAAGCTTCAGACTCTTTTTGGAAGATGAGGACGCTTTAGGAAGCACACCCAGCTCTTTGCTCACTTGCTTAACTGAAGGATCAGATGTTGTGGCCAGGAAATCGTTGATGTCGAACTTCTCAGAAGCAACAAGACCAGCAGTAGAGGGCGTACGAGACTCGTGAGCGTCGATTTCACGGGCTTTCTTTGTCGTTTTGGCCGTGGGATGTAGGCTGGACACAAGATTTTGAAGACGAGCAGCTTTGTCTGCTTGATCCTCATCCTCTGCATCGGACATGCTGTAGTCCGAAGGCGCAGTGTCGTCATAGCCCTCGCCCGAATTGTGTTCAGCTTCATCATTGCTTTCGGAGCCAGACTCCTCATCTCCACTCGGCTCATAGTTATCCAGCATAGTTGCCAGATCAACAGCGTCTGAGCCCAAACTTTCGTCGTCGGACTCTTTCTCAGCCTCTTCTTCTTCTTCTTCTTCTTCCAGATTCATCTCATTGGTTTCTTCATCCCTTTTCAAATGTGGCTTCCTTTTTGATGCCTTATTCACTGCGCCAGAGCCCCCTCGAAACGTCCAACCTTCAAATTTCTCCTCGTCACTCTCCCCAAACGCCTCTTCGCTGTCGATATCACTATCGTCGTCTTCGTCCACAATGCCAACCTTCCACCTATGACCTTCTTCATCGCTCTCTTCGCTTGCACTCGATTCACCGGATCTAGCTCTCCTCTTTGCAGATGGCTCTTCGGCTAAATTGCCCTCATCATCATCGTCGTTACCAGACATGCGACGTCTCTTAATTCGTGGACCATCGTCTTCGACATGTCCCAGCCGGTTGCGGCGTATCTTGGGTTTCTCGGGATCCTCAGCCTCAGCGATAGCAAATGCATTGAGCGACCGTTTGGCGAATTTGCTCCTCTTTTTCCTAGGAGCTTTAGCTGCAGGTGCCGACAGTGAGCTTCTCGCGATCCTGGCCGGCATATTTCAGTTTATTTAATTTGTTGATGCCGAGTCGTTTTGATTCTTCCAACTGCATTTTACACCGAAAAAAAAAAGATGGAGAATTTAGTGCCAAGATTTCACATTCCGCTCCGTCGCCGAATGAGGAACCGCGTCGTTCTCGTCCTCGAGAACAGAAATCATCTCCGCCAACTCCATCCTTTCTTCCAAGCCCACTCAAGGGTACACTTCTGTCGAATTATGACGAAGAGATAGCGGTTACACGTAAGTTAATGGCGTTGCATTCTCTTATTCTTCCGTACTTCCCATGCCCATGCCTTCGCTATGCTAATGACTTTGATCTCATCGCATTTCCCAATCTCCTGCCCGTACGATGGCCTATACCTTGCTATTCGATGGCTATTCAACTTCTCCGAATGCTTGCCGATCAGGTTTTCCATATATCACTCATTGCGCAAACAATTATGATGTCGACCTTGCATTGGGACTAACGCTATTCTATCTACAGCAGGAAAGATTTAAAGGCGTCATCACATCACAGTTCCACCACCAGCAGACATGCTAGGCCCTTTCCATGCCTCCGAACCCCTCCTTGCCCGAGCTGCCCGTAAACTTGCCCTTACAACTAAGCAGACGAACAAGGGCTATTACAAGGGCACTCGCTCCGGCAACGTTGGCCATTTCTCGTACAACCCCAAGCGGTATTACATCTACGAGATCGACTGGAATAAGGTCCGCACTTTTGTGAAGCCGAAGAACCTGGCCGACAGCGAGCTCCACCCTTTCGTGGCAGTGAGGGTAAGGGCACCCGCTGCAGGAAATGGAAAGAAGAAGTTGAGTGGGAAAGATTTTCTGAGCATGGTTAAGGAGCTCGGCACAGAGATCGAAGGGAGGCCTTAAAAGCATCAAAACAATTGTTCGACGACGGTGGATAAAGCAATTCTGCGAAATCGGCTTGAAGCTCCGCTTGCTCGTTCTGGTGAAAATGATAAGTTTCGTCAATAGACGATGGTTAGATCTTCGGCGGCGAAGTCAACGGCTTTACTGCCTGGAAATGGGCCGACGGTGAAAAGACAAAGAGCGTATACCCTTTTTGACAATAACGTACAGGAAGGATTGGCTTCAAAGTTATGGATCAACATGTATTATACGTGAGCAAGCCAAAAGGCATTTGCACGCACCTTCGAGACATCAAATACGTCTTTGTACAGTAGAATACCAAAGAACAGCGACTTTTGTTGGATGGGGTATCTAATGTCTAAGCCGGCGAAAATTTTACACTTGCGACGCTGTTTGCTTTTGCAGAAGAGTTCCTTGATGCTTTCTTCCTACACAGAGAGCAATCCGAGCTAAGTATTCGGAATATGCGTTCTGAAAATCACGTGTGGCGACCTTTGCAAGTCGGACTCTATTTTCTCAGGTGTGAATAATCTCTCATCGGTACATTCACATTCGTCGCCGTTCCCTTGGCACCCGCTCGTCTCTTGCGCGGCTTTGCCGTCTTTGTAACGGTCTGGACTTGGACTTGAACCGGCGCTGTCGTTGGCTTCAGACCGGCCTGGACCAGCTTTTCCCTGAGGGTAGAATCCAACTCGGGTATACGGATCGCCTCCCACTGCTTGCGCAGATCCGGTGGTACGGTCTTGCACAGGGACGGATCGTTCGCCCACACAACGCGGGGTTGGGACTCGCGGGTTGGAGGCTTGCCCGCGGCCGCAGATGACGCATCGTTCGTGGAGGCCATGGGGCGTGGTTTCGAAGGCCCCGATCGTGCAAGCAGGATCTCACCCCGCCCGGCCATGGCTTCCAGCTCTGGCACACAGTCTGGCCAGCCATCCCGCACGTCCTCGATCTTGACGCCAACCATGTTTGGCCGCTGTTGGAGATACCTCTTCAGCTCTTCCCGGTTCCGCACGGGAAGGAGAGGCTTGTATTTGAAGAGCCCCTTCGCTGAGTCGTAATCAATCTTTGGGTGCTTACCAGACTTCATGGCCCGCTCCAGCTTGGCGATATCCTGCTCGCTAGCTCTATGCAAAGACATGTACCGTAGCAATTCGTCGAAGGTCTTCGGCTGCTGAGTTTGCTTCAGGTGCTCAATGGCGATCTGCATCTGGCTCAAGGTTTCCGTAGGCTTGTACTCCTGCTCACGGGAAAGTTCGACCGCTGTTTTGCGCGCAGGGAGTGAGGATGCAAGGCCCTCCCTTTTACGCTTCTGTATGCCAGAGTTGGAAGCATTTGAGGGTGCTGGAGACGGCACACTGGTGCCCGGTAGTGAGGATGGCATGATGGCAACGATTCTGAAAAGAGGAAAGGCGATACAAACAAGCGATAGCCTGAGAGGGATGTTTATGTGCACTCGTCGTACTTGTCAGAGGCGCTATGTAAAAAAAGAAGAATCGATATAGTTACAGAAAGCACAGCAAAGGACACGAGCAAAGCCGCAATCAAGCGCTCTAGCTCGCGTGCAGATTAACTGACGAAGAGTCCACTCGCTGTCGCTGTTTTCGCCGTCGTCGTCGATGCAGTTGTCGCCGTCGCCGTCGTCGCCGCCGCCCGGAAGTGAAGAGAAAGATGATCAGCAGCTGGTTGCTGAGAGGTGAGGCCGCAGTTGACGTCTGCGCGCCAAGACTGGCGCTGGTGCTTTGGGGCTTTTGCGCTCGTCCCCCGACGCAAAGAAGACGCGCTGGTGCGTGCTGGCGGCTTTCACTAACAACTACGCCGTACCACCACGCCAATACCCACTTGCGCAAATCTATTCCTCTTCTTTCCTTGACCATTATCGTTGTTGCCTCTCCCCCCCTCCTCCTCTTCATCGTCGTCGTGGGCCTCCTCCGTAGCGTGCTCTCCTTCGCGTCCTTCTCTGATCATGAAGTGTGAATGATCTAAGCACTGGCCGCCCAAATCACAACAAAGCACCGGAGGAGCGTGGAGACGTCGGCCATCAACCAGCATGGCGGCAGTGACGGTGGATACAGCCATAGACGTTGGCTACATAGCCCAATCGTACTCTGTTCCGGAGCCTACCATCGCTACTTTACTCGACGCACCGACTGTTGAGCACGTGAGGGAGCTGTTGGTGAAGATCGAAGAGAAGGCACGCGAGTACGAAGAAGCGCAGGCAGCGAAGTTGAGGACGGAAGTGGAGCTGGAGACAGCGGTGCGCACCGGCAATGCTCGCGCCAAGCAGCTCAAGGATGCAAACGAAAAGGCCCTAAAGGAGATCGAAGAGCTCAGAAGGAAGTTGGCTTCGGAAGGTATGTCAAGTCCATGCATTTACACTGTGACTACTACTTGTACTTGGTTTATCTAACAGGATGTCGTTGCAGAGACTGCGCGTGCACAGCTGGAGTCTGAATTGCAAAACCTCAAGTCTTCGTCCTCAACAACATCCTCTCAGGTCGAAGCTTTCCAGAGCCGCATAGCCTCCCTCGAGTCCGCGAACCGGGATGCGCTTGCACTGTTAGAATCGAAATCCACGGCATACGACAAGCTAGGCGAGGAACTTGCGGCGCAGCAACAGAAGATTGTCGCTTTGCGCCGCGAAGTGACCGAATTGGAAGCAAAAGTCCAATCCGCCGACAACGCGGCTCTCCAATTCAAGTTCCGCGAGCAGCGTCTCGAAGAGGAGGTCTCATTGCTCAAGAAGCGTGACGAATGGCACGAGGAGGAGCTGAAGCGCCGAACGAGCGAGCACACAAAGTATCGAAAGGAAAAGACGGCCCAGATTGCAGAACTACAGCGCAACATAGAAGATGTGACGCAATCAAACGAAACCCTGCGTTCGACCGAGACTCAACTGCGAAATAGACTGGATGAGGTAACTCGTAAATTGGAGGATGCATACGCCCAGATCCAGAGCAAAGATGAGGATGCTGTTCGTCGGGAGAACTCGTCGCGTGCAGAGAGAGATAATGCACTTAGACTCGCCGAACTGCAGAAGAAGAGCGCAGAGACGGCAAGGGCGCGACAGCAGGAGCTAGAGCAAGCGATAGACCAACTCAAAGAGGATGCTGCAATGGAAATCGGTAATCTGCAGGCCGACGTGAATGCCGAACGCAAGGACAAGGAGGCCGCCGAACGTCGTGTCGAAGAGTTGGAGCATCGAATCGACCAGTTACAGACCGAACTCGCCACCTTCCAGGAGCAGGCTCCGACAACCCCACGGCGTGGTCTGAACGGCGTCGGCGTGCACGGCACGCCAGCACGCCCTTCATCGCCCTTCACTCCGGGAGCATCTCGCCTCAAGGCCGGCATGACAATGACACAGATGGTGAGCGAGTACTCTAAGCTTAAAGCTGAGCTAGAGCATGAGCGTCGTACAGCAAATGAGCTCCGTGCCACTCTCGACGGCATGATTACTGACCTTGAGAACAAGCAGCCGGAAATGGACGAGCTGCAGATGGATCGTGACAGGCTTCAGGCAGAGCTCGAGTCTGTAAGCGCGCTTCTCGAGCAGTCACATCAAGAACGAGACGAGGCTCGAAAGGCAGCGAGAGTAAGCCAGAGCGCTGCACAGGGATTGGAGAAGCACAACAAACTCCTCCAACAGCAAGTACGGGATCTTAGCTTCCAGATCAGACTTCTTCTGGTCGAGATTCAAGCCAGGGAGCACAATCTGGAAAGCCTCAGTCCCGAGTTACAGGCTCAGTACGAAGCGCTTGCTCGTGGAGAAATGGATGAGTCTGAGCTTGAGGGACAATCACCAAATTGGCGTTTCATCTCACAGCGACTGGTTGGTTACCGGACGGTCGAGGAGCTACAGAAACTCAATGCGGAACAACTGTACATGCTGCGCCAACTCGGCGAGGAACAAGACGGCGAGGAGGCTCAACAACGCAAGGCTCAGATCGAGAAGGACCAGAAGGAGCTTGAAGAGCTGCGTCTCAAAATAACGGAGTACAAGGATGCTATACAATCGCTGACAACTCGTTCGGAGAGCTATATTCGTGAGCGTGACATGTTCAGACGCATGCTTGCTCATCGTGGCCAACTTCCTCAAGGCGCTGACGCAAGTGCAGTATTCGGGCAGTCTCTTGACGGCAGTTTTATGGGCCCAGCAACACCGTCAAGGGCACAGAGCACCGAGCCATCAGCCGACGCCAAAGCGTTGGCTGATCATATCAAATTGCTTAAGGAGCTGCAACAGCATTTTGACGCATATCGCGAGGAGGCAGCTACGGATCAAGCCGCTCTCAAGCGTCAAAATGACAGCTTATCACGCGAGAAATCCGAGCTCCAGGGCGAAAACGCACGTCTGATATCGCGCGAAGCTGTCGCCCAGGAGCGTTACAATCTTCTGCAATCAAACTTCAGCATGCTGAAGACTGAGAATGCAGAATTACAAAAACGCTTGCAGACCCTCTCTGAGAATGCAGCCAAGCAAGATCTTCGCACTCAGCAAGTCGCAGAGGAGCTGATCGAAGCGAAGAGCCTGGCCGAGAGCATGCGCAACGAAACAGCTAACTTGAAAGCTGAGAAAGAACTCTGGCGTAACATCGAGGCTCGACTCACGGATGAGGCAGTGCAATTGCGCGAGGAGAGGAGTAGATTAAACAAGATGGTAGGGGATCTGCAGTCGCTTCAGAATGAACGTGAACTCGCAGAGTCTGAAACAAGGAGACGACTTACGTCCCGGGTAGAGGCTCTGGAGTCGGAGCTTGCCTCTTCAAAGCGTAAGCTTGACGAAGAAATCGAGCAAGCTAAGAAGGCAGCTCTTAGAAGGGAGTACGAGGCGGAGCAAAACAGACAGCGCATTGAAGATCTTCTTAAGAGCTCAGCAAATTACAAGGAAGAGTTGGTAGCTGTAAAGACCGTACGAGATCAATTGCAAGCGCGTGTTGAGGAGCTCAAGATTGAACTCCGGAACGCCGAAGAGAAGACCATTGCATTGCAGCCGAGATTGACCTCTAGACCTGCACCTGGCCTGCAGCAGCAGACTGACGAGAACGCGTTGACAAGGGAGCAGGAGCTTGGTTTGGAGGTTGCAGACCTGAAACGAGATCTCGAGCTGAAAGAGGCAGAACTGCAAGGAGTCAAGGAGGAAATTGAGCAATACAAGTCAATTGCTCAGTCTGCCGAGGAGGAGCTGCAAGCCATGAATGAAACGAGCGACCAGTTCCGAGCTGAAACAGACGCAGCCATTGCGGAGAAAGAGGCAAGAATTGCGGATCTGGAGAAGCGTGTCGAAGAAATCTCCACGGAACTCGCAAGCACAAACAGCGAGCTCTCGGAGCTACGAAGCAAGCAGGACGAAGCGACGAGCAAGTTCAACGACCAGAAGAGCATCTACGAGTCTGAACTCGCACGTTTGAGAGATGAGTCAGACCGTCTAGCGGAAACTGCACGTCTCCATCAGGAAGACCTCAAAGCTCAAGCCGAAATCGCACAGCAGGCACAGCAAAACTATGAGGATGAATTAGTCAAGCATGCCGAGGCGGCCAGTAGTCTACAGAAGCTCCGTGCAGAATACAACACACTCAAAACAGAGGTTGCCGGATACAAGGCCGAGGCTGAAGCTGCCAAGTTGAGTCTAAGCCAGAGCGAAGAGAGTTGGGCGGAGACCAGAAGCAGATTTGAAGCGGAGATTACGGAGATGAAGAACTCCAGGGAGGAGCTGAAGAATCAAAACCGAAGATTGCATGCTCAACTCGAGGACCTGAGCAACCAAATTAACAAACTCAAACAGAGTCGTGCTGCCGCTGCTACTGCAACTTCTGGAGATGGTGATGACGCATCAGGAACTCCAGACGCGACTAGCAACAATCTTCAAGAGATCATTCGATATCTGCGCCAGGAGAAGGAAATCGTGGATATGCAATATGAATTACAAATCCAAGAATCCAAGCGGTTGCAACAGCAACTCACGCATGCTCAGACGCAGCTTGATGATGTACGTGAGAAGCTGGAGCAAGAACGCCGTAGCAATGCAGCGGCAACCGAGCACGCAACATCTCACTCAAAGCTTATGCAAACCATCAACGAACTCAACCTATTCCGCGAGAGCAACTCAAGCTTGAGGAATGAAGCGCGATCTGCGCAGGAGCAGCTAGCAAAGAAGATCAAGGAGGTTGAAGATCTTGTTTCGCAGCTGGAACCTCTCCGAGCGAAAAACAGAGAGGCAGAATATGAGCTCGAAGCTAAGCAGGGCGAAATCAAATTGCTCCAGGAAGACCGCGATAGATGGCAAAAGCGCACTCAAGACATTATGCAAAAGTATGATCGCGTCGATCCAGCTGAACTTCAGGAGCTTCGCGATCAGATAAATAAACTGACAGAAGAGCGCGACGCTGCAATTGAAGCCAAGGCACCACTCCAGGAACAGATCGATGCATTCAACGCGAAGCTTGAAGAACAAGAGAAGAAATTTGGCGAGCGCATCGAGAAATTCAAAGAACAGGCCAAGACCAGAGACGCCCAGCGAAGGGAGACAATCACTCAAAAACAGAACCAGATCGACGCTGCAAACACAGAACTGAATAGTCTCAAGGAAGAGCTTGAGGCTACGAAGAAGGCGAGGGATGAGGCGTTGTCTAGACTTGCCAGTGAGGAGGGACAGGTTATAGAGAAAGCTGCTAGTCCTGTGGCGGAAGCTGAGATGACGGGTGGAGAGCGAGCAGAAATAGAAGCGAGACTCAAAGCTGCAGAAGAAAAGGCCAGCTCTGAAGCAGCTAGAGCAGCGGCTTTGGAGCAGCAAGTTGAGGAGTTGAAGGCGCAGATTGAGACGCTCAAGGCACAAATAGTAAGTTCTTCACGTTTTGACAGCCTTTAACGTATAGATAAATGCTAAACGGGATGACAGGCTGAACTAGAGCAGAATCTCGCGGACGCAAACGCGAAGATTGCAGAGGGAGCGCAGAGCACCACACAATCCATCGAGGATAGTTCTTCGTCTGAGGAGCTTCAGCGCCTAAAAGCTGATCTCCTTGCCGCTCAGGAAGAAGTTGAGCGTCTTAAGACAAACCCCGCAAACACTGCATCGGGCTTGCAGATCGATCCTATGTCACAAGAGCAAATTGAAGCAGCCATTGAGGAGAAGAAGAAGGAGCTCGAGATACAACTAGAAAAGGCCAAGAAGGAGGAAGAGCTTTATGCCAAACGCACGCTACACATGAAAAACTCATTCAACACAAAAATGCGTGAAGCTAGAGAAAAATTCGAGGCGGACATGGCAGCTTTGAAGACTGAACACCAACAAGAGCTTCTGAGAGTCAAGGCTGAGCCAAACAGCACCACTGATGCTCCATCCACGACCACGGAGAGTGAAGCGCAGACGGCGACAAATGGGACTGTTGCTGCTGCTGAGACCAAGCCGGCAGGATGGCAACCTTCAGAAGAGGAAGTTCGCGAACTTGTACGCACAAGCCCACTTGTCAAAGGCGTCATCAAAAGCAATATCGACAAGGTGGTTCACGTCAAGCTCGAAGAAGCGAAGAAAGCAGCTGAAGCAGAGAAAGAAAAGGCTATCACGGCCGCTAAAGAAATGGCCGAGAAGCGCAGCATGGTCAAGTTGAACATGGCGAATAACAAGGCAAACATGCTATCGGCTCAAATCGATGTCGTAAGGACAGCTGCAACTGAGACGCCTCAACGGCCAGTTGGAGAGGTGTGGGAAATCGCTAAGAACACCAAACCAGGCGGAACAGTAGCACCAAAGCGGCAGAGCATTGTACCTAGTGGTCCTTCGCCTGCTCCCCAGCAGCAAAATGATGTTCAACAAGCTGGTTCCGCCCCAGCGGCTACTCCAGCGGCTACTCCAGCGGCTACACCAGCTGCTGCATCTGTTCCTGCCTCGGCCCCTACGCCGGCTCCTGCAACGGCTCCTGCAACGGCTCCTGCAACGGCTCCTGCAACGGCTCCTGCAACGGCTCCTGCTCCGGCTCAACAACTAAATGTTCCTACGCTAGGTGGCTTTGGCGCGCCTTCTTCACTTCCGCAAGCAGTGCGTCGTCCCTCACAAAGTACCATCCCCTTCGGTGCACCGAGCTCATTGCCGGCTCCGCCGGTTCCAAATCCTTTCGCCGCAGCCGGAACGACACCCGCGTCTGCTCCTGCTGTTCAGCCACAGACAAAAACAGCTGGTGCAGGACGAGGACAGAATTCTGGCACAGGTCCCGCAGCTCTCAAGGCGGTCGTTCAGAGCAATGCCAACGCTGCTCCTGCAGCTGCTTCTGGTATTCCTCGCCCAGGCAGTGCCATGGGGGGCCCAACGCCAGCGGCACAGGCTCAAACCGGTCGTGGAAGAGGCGGCTCACAGCTACCCCGCGGTGGTTCGATGCGTGGAGCGCCTGCAAACAGAGGAGCTCCTGCTCAGCGCGGTGGTCGCGGCGGTCAGCAGGCCTCTGGCCTCCCAACGGCGGCAGCAGCAGCTGCTGCTGCCGGCCGCGGAACTGGCAATTCTAGTCCAAGGGGTGGACGTGGAGGTATGAATCCAAATGCGGCAGGTTTCGTGCCTGGTGCCAAGAGGCCAAACGATGGAACTGGTGGTAATGAGGAAAAGAGGGTTAAGGAGGCATAAACCGGATACCCGCAAAGATTCTTTGCGTATGATGCTTTCCATATGTCGAAATTAAGAATTTTCTTTACGTCTTCTCTCTCTCACACACACACATTGTCCAAAAATAAGAGAAACTAGCAGAAAAGAAAGGGGTTTTCTTCAGAGAGGGAATATCAGCGGGAATCACCCTCCATTTGGGTTTTGCTGTATCATAAACACAGTCTTCTCTTAGTCCTGTTGACTGCATACGGCGGCGTTTCGTACAGGAATCCATTTGGATCTTTGCTCATCGTCTTCTTGATATTACCTAGCATTCTCAAGGTCCATTCTCGTCGCTAATGTAGCCTTAACTTTCTTGGTCAAACAACGCTTTGGCAATGGAATGTAAAGTGCTGAATGGCAAGCTTCCAGCCAGAATGGTACCAGTTTGGATATGAATGAACATGATAGTTTTGTCTCTTGTAGTAAGACTCCAAGAACATGAAAGGGCGGCCTTTCAGTGTCCATGGACGTAAGAAATGGATTACTTGGACACCAATTAATAGATTTCTAGGCCGTGATATATAGGCTGCATGTGCCATTTGTCGTTACAAAAAAGGTATCCATGCGTACATGTATATTTTCCACAGACCCAACGCCACCAAATATGCGTCGCTAATAATCAATACAAAGTTATTCAAAGTCTGGCGCTGATAAAAACCGGCTTTAGCCTAAGAACTGCTTTACGGCACCGCCAACTCCCTCCACATCAAGCAAAAAAGTGTCGTGGCCGAATAGGCTTCTTTCCTCGCCCAATTCAACGTGTGTGACCATCGTATTTCCAGTCTTTCTCAGAGTCTCCGCGATTTCTCGTTGTTGCCAAGCCGGGAACAAAATATCGCTTGCTACGCCTAGAACAAGAGTAGGTGTGTTCGCCATTGGTTTCATGCCCGCTACTAGATCCGCAGGCGGGTCATGTGGAGATGTCTGGGCAGCTGGATCAGCCGCTGGCGACGTCATATCCGGTGTTTCTGGCCCGTCTCGCTCTTCGTAAGGTTTCTCAGGTAGAGTGAGCGAGCAGGACAATGAATCCTCGCTGGTGTACCTCACTCCTCCATAATCGTTCAGCTTATAAGCATTGCTCGCCCGAAGCTTCGATATCTTGTTCCGATGCTCCGCACCCAAGTCGAACATGTCCATCGCCTTACTCACATAGAGCAGCGAATTTGGATCATATTCGAGACACCACTTCTCACCGGCATGATCCAAGTACGTTTCAATCAGGAAATCCGGGCATAATGCTGGAGGCTTAGAGGGATCTGCCCGACGACGACCAAAGCGAGCTTCCCATTCGGGACCAGAGCGGTACGTTACAGTGGCGATTTCACGGGCAAGCTTCATCCCTCCGTGTGGAGGAATGCCAGTGTCATAGTAGAAGCCTCGGCGCCAATTCGGATCCATCATCAGAACTGAGGTGCTGTTAGTCACACACCTGACAGGAAAAAGAAAGATTGGGACTTGCTAACCTTGTCGTTGAGTATGCCGCATGGCAATGCTGTATGGATGGCTCCTCGCACAGCCAGATATCGACACCACTCTGCCTACCCTCTCTGGGAAAAGGTTGCCAGCAGCTAAAGATTGCATGCCGCCCATGCTGGCGCCCACACTGGCATACAGCTTCTCAATGCCTAGAGCATCGACTAGTCTGAACTGCGCTCTCACCATGTCCTCCATGGTCAAAATGGGAAATCTTGTCGCATATCTTCTACCATCGGCTGGATCGATCGAGCTTGGTCCCGTAGAGCCAAAACATCCACCTATGACGTTCGTACAGATGACGAAGTACTTGTCTGTATCAAGTGACTTTCCAGGTCCTATGAACTTCTCCCACCAGCCCGGCTTTGGATTGTCCGGTGTGCTGTGAGCATGGCTTGAAGCCGAAAGACCCGTGTGTAGAAGAATAGCATTGGACTTGTCTGCATTGAGAGAGCCCCAAGTTTCGAAGGCGATGTCGAATTCTGGGAGCACTCCTCCCCAGTCAGTGAGGAATGGAGCGTTGGAATGGAAAACTTGATGTCGGCCGGTTGTGTACGATGGTTCCGGGCCGCTCTCCTGGGACCGTCGATTCTGCAGGTTCAACGACCGCGATTCCACTGCATCAAGACATGGAAATGAGAGTGCCGGATTGGATGAGTCCGGAACTGGGTGTGGCTGCTGAACCGCTGCAGCCGTAGCCTGAGCCTTCTTAACCGTTTGCTGATGCAGGCTCCGAGAAGATGCCCTCGTAGTCTTCCATCTCTGCTGCTGTGTTGTTGGTGTTGGTGTTGATGTCTGCAGTGCTTTGAGCGAATGATGTAGGTGATTGGGTGCGACGCGAGCGGGCGAAGATCGGACTTGAGATTCCCAGATGTGGGCAGGCGAGCCGAGACCGCGTGCGAGGCTGCGTGTGGTCTGCATATCTACAACTATCTCGTCGTACGGTCAAGACATTGAGATATATGAAGTCAGACTGGGGCAGAGGGGTTAATATGGAGATTTCAGCTTAGAAATGGCCGAGTTACGCCAAATATTCCTCCTCCTGGGGACTAGACTGTTTGCAGCATTCCAGCGAGAATTGCGTGATTGACGCCTGAGGCTTCAAGGCTCTGAACCTCCACCAATCACGTTTCTCCAGTCCAACGCCTTGGCACTGTCGGCAGACTTGACGTACCATCTTCCCAGTCACGTGACTCACGAGTTCCCCACGACAGCAAAAGTACCCCATCGATCAAATCGAATCATCACGAAGTCGACGCTTGAGTGATGCCCAGATTGACGGCATTGCTGCAAGAACATCAACTGCGGCGAATCAAATGTATGCAGCTCGCGAAAAAAAAAACTCGTAGGCAGCAACGACCTAATGTTTAGCACGACCCACCTGCAGAGGTGTTTGTCACCGTGAGACCGTGTATAAATGCGAGCTCGGCGAGGACAGGCACGAATGCCATGAATACGGTCGATTCGAATTCACGATCTGAGTTCTCCTTCTGCAATGGAACCAAAAACCCCCAAGGAACTGCCCGCAGGCTACTCGTTCATTGCTGCCCCACCGCCTTTGGACGATTATCTAACGCTCAGAGAGGTTACGGGACTGACTCCCAAAACTGCATTGCAAGGATCCAAGGCTCTGGCAGGATCGTGGTACGCTTGCCACGTCGTCCATAACTCTGATGCCGGAAGTCAAGTCGTGGGCATGGGCCGCGTCATCGGCGACGGCGGCTGGTATTTTCACATTGCAGACATGGCCGTTCATCCGGAGCATCAGAAAAGAGGGCTGGGCGACTTCATATTGGGGAAGCTGATCGAGAAAGTGGAACATGATGCGCCGGACAGACCGTACATCAACCTCGTGGCGGATCCACCAGGTATCAAGCTCTACAGCAGGCATGGATTTGTGGAGACGTCGACTGTGGGGAGAAAGGGTGTGGGCATGCAACGGTACTGAGGTCAACTGCTGGAGCGCTATTTGAGCCCTTGAGATGGATCTGTTGGTATTGTTGTTGGTGTACGAGTGTATATATATAACTGGCCTGGTCTCGAGCGAAACTTCTCACACTTTGATAGTAATCTTACCCACAACTTTGCCGCTGCGCAAGGCACTCAACGCCTCACGAGCTTGAGACCAGCCAAATCTTTCTCCGATGTAGGGAACGATCTTGTACTTTTCGGCTAGAGCAACCGTCTCCTTGTACATCTCACTGCTGGCTACGAGCAAACCGCGCACTGCGTCTTGTCAGAATCATCTTGCATGACGTACGATGTTGGAAAAGAAACACACCAATCTTCGCCCCCAGTATCAGCGGAAATACGACATCGTAAGTCTTGCTCTCGGTCAAAAACCCCAGAATCACAACCGTCCCGCCCTGTCTTACGGCGCGCAGGCTTTGCTCGATCGTCCCCGCACCGGCAACGTCGACGACGAGATCTACGCCACGACCGTGCGTGAGTTTAAGAACCTCATCTGCCCATTCAGGATGCGTCTGGTAATTGATCAGGTCGCTTGCCCCCAATCCCTTCAGCAGCTTTAACTTTTCCTCCGAGCTGCTCGTCGCAATCACCCTTGCGCCGGCCGCCGCAGCGAGCTGCACGGCAGCGCAGCTCACTCCCCCGCTTCCCTGCGTCAGCACCGTCTTGCCGCTGAGGTCGAAGCCCGGCGAAGAGACCCCAGAATGAAAAAGAGCATTCACAGCCGTAGCGCCGGCACCGGCCAACGCAGCGGCTTCCTCCCAGTCAAGATGCTTTGGCTTCTTCACCAGCAAGGCGTCGTCGATCAATCTGTACTGTTGCAGCAGGCCCTGCGTGCTTCCTCCTCCCAAAGTGACAAAGTCAAACGCGCTCACGTCGCCGTCGACCCATGAGTTCTGCAACACGAAGAGAACCTCGTCTCCAGGCGACCACTTGCTCTCTTCCCCAACCGCTTCGACAGACCCGGCGCCGTCTGAGCAGGGAGAGAGGCCAGGAACGGTGGGAACGGGATATTTGGGAGAAAATGCTGTGGTGAGGAGATCTCGGTAGTTGAGGGAGGCAGCGTGAATGCGAACGAGGGCCTGGCGTGGGCCTGGGATCGGCTTTGGAATCGTGTGGATCTGCAGGTTTTGGAGGACCTCTGGCGACTTCTCGTCAGTTGTCGCGGCAACGGGGTGAATTTGCCAGGCCTGGTATGTAGGCGTCATTTCGTGCAAATTGGCCTTCCTAAAGTCCGTAGATTCTGTTGATATCTGCGCTGTCTACGTTCCATATTTACAGACATTCGCTGTCCTTATATACGACCATCACATTCTAGGCAATTTCCCCTCTGCGCTTTCATCACTGGCTCCAGCTTCAAAGAAAAACCGACGGTGGAAGCTTTTCCCCGACGCTCTTTTTGTCAAGGCCGCACGGCTCGAGTCTTTTCAGCGGATGCTTACATATCAAGTCCGCACCGTGGTTCCGATTCGTCCGCCGACTCAGTCCGACACAGTCACGTGTGCAACTTACATCTCACATGCAGTTACCCGTCACGGCAATAAAGTTGCCAAATTTTCAATTGAAGTATCTGGATCCAAAGAGTCCCAAAAAAGGATGATGTGCAGCGAGGCTGTTTGATTGGCCGTTAATGCCTAGTCAACATATTACGGCTATGCCCTCGGCCGGGTAACCTCGTGATAGCTCCGTGGCGAAGGGCCCACCTCATGACTGGATTTTCCAAAAAAAAAAAAAAAAAATAAAAATAAAAAAAATAAAAAAATAAAAAAAATAAAAAAAATAAAAAAAATTGAATGATTCACTTTAAGCTAAGAAGAGTCCATAGTTGCGTCCTCCAGAATAGCAGTGAAGGATTTAAACTGCCGCTTTACATGTGTACTACTTGATTGCGAATCTGTTCCGCGCGCGCCCAGCTGGAACCTGTCGTACGGAAGAACCAGCCGTCAGCCGAAGCAGAATTGACATGTACGGATCACATAATCTCCTGTCACACTTCATAAGTAATCATTTTTTTTCCCTTTTCTTCCAGAATTCCAAAGACCATGGTGTTGAGGGAGCAAAAGAGACGACAGAAGGCGGGCTTGACGAGCGAACGGCTCCAAACAGGAAATGCTGCCAGATTGTAAACGGATTGGATAATCCCGCCTTGCTCGTCGGTCACTTCAAGGCTGGGGCACTCTTCCATCACGTGGGCTTATGACGGTAGGAAAAATGAAAAAAAAAAGAAACTTTGAAGCCTTTGAACAGGTGTGATCAGATCGGACCTGATCGTCCACAGCACGAACTGAGTCTGCAGCACTGGAAACGCATCGCTTTTGTACACGTTGATTCTTGTCATTTAGAGAATAGGTCCGATCATTCTACTTGGACGATTCTGCACGACGAGTTGTACACGCTCAACAATGAACCACGCGATAAAGACCTGCCGTACCGATTCGCTCGTGAAATGCCAGGGACTCACAAATCCATATGCTCGACACGTCGATACGGCTAATCGTGCACCACAACTTCCATCCGTCACAAACTCAGCTGGCCCCGCGAAAAACCACGTCGGCGCGACAAGAAACGTGTGCATGCTTCGGCTGTGCAAAAAACAAACGCCCTCACGTCAGGCCGATGGTAACGTCGCCTTGTACGCGAGCGGTCAGGTGGACGTCGATCTCAAAGTCCAGTTCGATGTGGATCTTCAAGCTGCTGTCTTTGGTTTTTGGGGCTCGCCTTTCCCGTTCCACGTCACCGCCCGTTCTTCATCGCTTGGCGGATCCGATCCGATGTCAGGTCCGTAAGCTGCTTGTCGCTCACGACGGCCGTTTGCTTGAGCTGCCGACACCAGCCCAAGGGTAGTCTGCGCGGGGTCTTGGAGAGAAGTTGTCTGAGCGCGTAAAGTGTTCTGTTCCAAAGACGGAAACGATGGACGATGCTTAGACCGCACCCACACAGAAAATTTCAACTTTGAAACGTCGCGAAGCAAGTTTCTCTTCTTCGGATTGCGCAGAAAGGACTGCTTGTCTGCAAAGTTTTCCATGCGGGAGAATATTCGTTCGAACCCTTGCCATTCAAGGCCTGTACGGTCGTGATCACTTTACCACATTGCTTGCTCAATGCAAGGACGTGTAATGTAGATTGATTCGATGATCCCATTGAGATCTTTTCTTTTCGGCTCTCCACACTGCCTTTACATGAACGACGACACTGCGGCCCGGATTCATTGAAGACATGACCTAGGCCAGTGGTGGTTTTGGAGATTTCAAAGTCATCGAGCGATGCTTTGGCTGGCCAGCTGCAAGCAATGAATGTGGATCGTCGACTGAAACAATATAAGATCCAAGTGTCACGCTCCATTTTTTTTTTCGATGCATATGCCGCGTTCCAGCTGGTACGTCTAAACAAACTTGACTAGAGGCAGGTTTGTACAGTGACAAGCAGATCTCGAGTAAGGGCTGCAGGGTCAACGTTCTGCAGAAGCAAAGCAAGGGATCCTCAAGATGGTCAAGCAAACAGCTCTTCGCCTGCATTGGGCCAGTAAGAAATGGCTTCTGGCGCAGATCGTCGAAGATCCATAAAGGTGGCGCCGCTGAGAGCCGCTTTAGCAATCCTCTTTTAAGACGACAGTAAAGGTCCTTACATGCTCGGGTCACGCTATGGTGAGACATGTGTTTCCAAGAAGAGTGAGCAGCGTTTCTAAACTTCCGACGAGGCCCAAAAAAAAATAGAGAATAGGTTGCCTACTCAGCCGGCGAGACAGTGAACAAGAGGAAAAAGTGATCCAGGAAAAGCATGTACGGGAGGATGAAGAGACATTAGTTTTCTAACATTGACAAACAAACAAAAGTCTGGCAGTTTTGGCACACCAAAAAAGGAGAGACTCCAACCGCACTTTCTCGCAATCGCCAGACAAATTGAGCCCTTTTAGTGTTTCGATGTTCATTATCATAAAGTTTTCGTCAAGGCATCTCTGAATCTTCTCCACCAGCCTAGGTCCAATTACAATCCAGCAATCTGCAAATTTGATCTCAATGAATGAATGAACGTTGTTACAAAGGAAAATAAAGTAGACACGTCTCGAGTGCCCAACGGCTATGCCTCTGCCCCCTGCCATGGTACTGTTCCTGGTTCAGGGCAGAGTCCAAAAGAGTGGTCGTTCTGAAGTGTTGATCAATCGACGGGGTGAAAAGACTTTGTAAGAACTACGCATTCTTGCCGATAGCGGTACGGTTCGGCGTGGCAGTAGCCGAGCTATTGGCATGACTATGGCTATGAGTATGCAAATGACCCCTTGTAGAGAACGTCCGACTATGCCTTGACGTTCTCGAGAGGGTGGCGACATCGTGCTGGCCTGTAATCAAATGATTTAGTTCTTCTGACGCATCATATCATTAATCGTGGGATGGAGATGGCCAAACCGCCGAGTTCAAAGTATCACAGATGGAAGACTCACCATCGCAACACGCCCTCACATTCTCCAACCGGTCTGCTTCGCGTTCCTGCTGCTCGATCAGCCGCCTCAAGTCCTCGGCGCTGTCGTTTGGATTGTGCTCCTCGAGGTGCTCCGTCGCCATAGATGATCTGCTGTGTCTCGAAGCGATAGATCCCGCGATAGCGCTTAGTCTGTTGGATAGTGAAGCCCTATTTTGGCTATGCGAGCGCATACCTTGAGCGGACGAGGAACGCAATGTGGCATGCTGTTGACGTTGTGGGCTTGCCGTGCGCGTCGTCGTCGCGCGGCTCATATACGACGAGACGCTCGCTCTCGACCGACCTGTTGCGCGCGAAGTGCTACGCGGTCCGCCGAGGGCAGGGTTAAACTCGGCAGCATCCTCGCTCGCTGCCATGCTCTCTGCGTCGCGCTCCGCGCCTGTCTTAAGTAGTAGGTAGGTCAGCGCATTGCTCCAGGTCTCGTGTCTCTGACTTGTCGTTGCGGTGAGTTTGATCGTGCGTCCTGGTGTAGTAACCACAAGACTCTTCCTGTGCAAGCCGGGAGGAAGTGGGTTATCATCTGTTACGATGCGGACAGCCTCGATCTGCACGCTCTTGGCCTTGACCTGCTCCTTGCCTGCCTCTGCAGGGTTCTTCTCGCTCCAGTAAAGCGTACGTGTATACGGGTGGACCCAGAAGAAGCGCCTGTGACGAGTTGAGCTCATCTCACTGGAGCCTGCCTTGCGCGTGTACTTGTACATGTACTCCCCAATCATCGTCTGTGTGATGGCTTGGATCATGCGCGGATCATTGACATTGCCGTCGTTGTACACGCTCTCGAAGGGGCCTCCAGAGGTAATGTTAAACCTATGATCGAGTTCTGACGCAAAGGACGATACGGACGATCTCCTCGTGGTCGTAGGGGAAGCGACTTGGACCTTGCTCGCCGTGCTCGGTCGGCCGGTGTTGCTGGCGCCGGTGACTCGTGCAGGGCTCTGAGCGACGGCAACATGTGGGTTCATCCGTGGCGTTTGCGGCCTCGACGTCTGATTGATCTGCTGGCTCTGCCTGTACGCGGACGCCGGCATCGTCGGCGGGGGCATCGAACCAAACGCAGGTGTGGGGACCGTGGAGGATGCTGAGGAAGACGGCTTGGGAGGAGCAGCAGCCGCAGCGGCAGCAATGGCCTGTTTCGCTTCCGTAGGCAGCGGCGGCGCTGGGGATCGCTCCCTACTGCGCATGCTGCCCGCACTACCGGGACGGCGAAGGGGAGCTCGTTCCTGGGACGTAACTTGTTCTCTGGAGCGCCGGGGGCTGGAGGTCCCAAACGACCCTTTGCTAGGCGAGACAACTGGCTTGACAACGGAAGAGGCGGTCTCAGCCGGGCCGGTGGATCGCAACAGCCTCTCCAGATCTTCGGCGGACAGCGCTGTCTGCGTGGCCTCGTTCGATGTCTGGATAACGAGTGGTTTGAGCATCGACTTCCCATCCCTGATCGCTTTGCGTTCCGGCGACGGAGGAGCGTTGCCTTCGATTTGGCGAAGCGGAAGACGGTCCGTCGATGTGCCAACCACGTTGGAAGACGAGTGCTTGTCTGGGGCTCGAGGCGGCTGACTGGTCTCGTCTTCAGCAATCGTGGTTGCGTCTTGACCCTTCTTGCGACCGAGCAAGCCGCCGAGGAAGCCAACCCCGGTTCCCACAGCCGCTGTTTCGGCGACTTTAGTGGCTGTTGATGGCCGAGACGCCTCAGTCTCAACCGGCGCGGTATCCTCGTGGATGGTTGAGGAGAAGGAAAGCACAGGACGTGGAGCCTCCACGAGTTTTGTAGGGGGTGGCTCGATCGGCGATGTCTGATGAGAGAGAACAGAAGAATATCCCAACGAAGGAGGTGCAGTCTCTGGTGGCTCGACGGGATCGGTGTGTTGTGATATCACCGCCGACGGCGCGAGCTTTGGACCGGGAGCGCGCTCGACATCCCTCGGCTTGGACTCCTGCAACATGGATGTCGACGCCGAATGCGCGGGAGGCGCCGGGAAGTCAGCCAACACCGGTGTGGCGGGATCGGTACCTCTCGACATGGGACCCGACGCTGCGAGAAGCTGCGACGGAGCCGAAGGCTGCACTTCTACGGCCGTAGTAGGCTCCCACGGCTCCGTCATGACGCCAATATCCGCCATGACCGGTTTCGGATTCTCCTCTGTCGAGACCGTCGATTCGCGAAGTCTACTCGGTGCTGGACTCCGCTTGAGGACTTCCGGTGACGCCAAAGGCGATAGCATCTTGGAGCTCGTTGGGGTGCCATCCTCCGTCTCCTGATCGCTCAGATTGCCCAGTTCGGCGAACAAGCTTTGTCCCTGGGCGATTGGTGTGCTGTTGTTGCTTGACACCGTGGCCGGCGAATCCTCAAAGCTGCGAGACGTAGCGCCATCGCGAGCGGAGAGTCTGCGCGCACCGCCTCTGTTAACGCGAAGCTTGAATTTAGAATTCTGGGATTGGACAGGAGTCTTGAGCTCGGAGTCATCATCTTCGAGCTCGTCCGCAGACGTGGACGCCGTGCTCTGGAAAGACATGCGGTGGACGTGGTTCGGTCTCTTGCCGGCGCGTGCACCACGCGCGGCTCCGGACTCGGTCTCCGTGAGGTCGCTATCGCCATCAAGAGTCTCTGCGCCAGTCTGGAAGGCGTCACTCTCTGTGCCTGTTGCGTCGCGCTCATTCGCCGTCTCAAAGGCATCCGAGTTCTCTGTTGCCGTTGCATACGCATCCGTTGAGCTCGAGATGACGGACATGCGATTTCCCGCACCAGTTTGCGATGGCACAGCACGAGACTTGCTCGGTGTGTCCACAGGGTCGTGATCTTCCCAGTCTCCATCCTCGTCGAGCATGATCTCCTCCTTGCTTCCTCTGGCCTCACCCAGCCGGTCGGGCCGTGAGGGTTTCTTGAACAACTCGCCCTCTTTGTTGGACCTTCGCTTCTTGCCACTGTCCACGCCGGCGGCACTGCCGGTCCGACGCGCTTCGAGATCGTCTCTGGCATCCTGCAGCAGACGCCTGTACTCCATCTTCTCCGTCTTCTCCCGATGCAACTGATTCTTCAGGTTCTGGATCGTGCGGTAAGCGTGGTTCAACGCGCTCTTGGTCGTCTCCTCGTGCAGAGCACCATGTCGGGGTGTTGCTTTGCTCGGGGAGCCAGGGGGAGAGTCGTCGGGCGTCTCGACGTCGGACGGGATCGCCTCGCCGCTCAGCGCGCTTTCGGCAGACACTTGGCGCGATTGCTCGCCCATGCGGTACGCGAACGCCTGAGCCAGCTCCCTGTTTTGTGAGGTGAGCTCTTCGACTTTCTTGTGCAGACCGGTGATCTGAGTTTCGTCCTGCGTTGCATTCTTCTTGAGAGCGATAAGCTCGGCCTCGTGTTGCCTGCGCGCAGCAGCGTGATCGTCGGCGAGCTTAGCGTGCGCCTGCTTCAGGTCTTCCAAGTCACGCTCCAGTGCGGCTTTTGCGGCCGAAGTCGTGTTGAGGCTCTGCGTCAAGCGCTGCTCCCGCACGGTGGCCTCCTTGTGGGTGGCGGAGAGCTCGTGCAGCTGCGTTTCAAGCGCCCAGGTCTCGTCCTTGTAGCGCTGCTCGCTCTCGTCCAGCGCCTTCACCCTCTGTCGAGTGACTTCTAGCTCGGCCTCGAGATGGGTCTTCTCCAGCATGACCTCCTTGAGCAAGGCGTCCTTCTCGGCGAGCGATGCCTGCAGCATGCGCACCTGCTCCAGCAGCTCGGCACTGATGTCTGTTGCGAGCTGCAAGTCGTTGACTCTGCTCGGCTGCTGGTTGCGTTGCTTGCGGGAGGGCGCGTGCGCCTTGGACGGGCTTGGATGCGCGACGCCGCCAAACTCGGTGACTTCGCGCTCGGGGGGGGCCTCGCCGCCGCTGGGCACCCTGTTTTTGCCGACGAAGATGCGGGCGGTCTCGCGATTGACGTCGTTGAACTCCTTCTCGAGGTCCAGCAGCCTGGCCTTGAGGGCGGGACTGACCTCGTCATCCTGGGGCTGGCTCTCGACCTCCCTCAGCTTGTCGACCAGCTCCTTTCGCTGGGCCACGAGCACCTGGCCGACGCGCGAAGCCTCCTGCAGCCGCCTTTCGGTCTCGGCAAGATGGGCTTCGAGGGCGCGTTTGGCCTGCGCGGGCGACCCCGTTGCAAACAGCGAGAAGGCGCCACTGTCGAAGCCGCCGTAGCGGAAGCGCGGGACGTCGTGTGCCATTGACGGCGTTGCGGGCTGCACGAAGGGATCGGGGTCAGACGAGGAAAGGTCGGTCGCTACAGGCATGGCGCCTGGCGGAGGATTCGCGGTTGACATGTAGAGCTGGCTGGCTGCTGGACGAGGGCGCGCGTGCGAGGCAGCGACAAAATAACAACAACAAAATGGGGGCGCATGAAACGACGCGCTCGGGCCGTGCGCCGGGGGGAGGGCGGAACGTGTACTTCTCGCTGGAGAGAGGTTTGGGCCCGCAGCGGGAGCGGGCTGGGGCAGGCCGGGAATCACGACGACGTCGGCGGTCGGGATTGGCGATGGAAGAGAACGGAGGCGAGGGCAGAGGCGGCCGTGGCGGTGGAGATCGTCGTCGAGGTCGCCGTGGTGGACGTGGTCGCGGCAACGGCAGCAGCAGCCGCAGAAGCAGCAGCAAGCACGGGCGACGCGTCTGCCGGCCGGCCTCGTCAACGGGCGGAGACGGAAGGGAAACAAAGAGACACAGAGCACGGCGAGAGCCGAGCGATGGCGTCGTGCTGCTTGCACGATCCGAGCTTCGGGCGGCGATGCCTGCTACTGTTGCTGTTGTTGTTCTTGCTGTTGGCGTGCGTCGCCGCCGCCCGACGGGACCGCCTGGCCGGCGTCTCTCGTCAACGCCAGCCGTGATCTCACGCAGTGCTGGCGCGCAATAAAAGGCCCCCATCAAGCGTCATCGTCGCCAGGTTGCTGCCGCAACACGCACAGGCTTGAGTCACCCCGTCCGAGGCGTTGCCCGCCAAAACCCCCCGATCCTGCGTCGCCGTGCTTGTCTCTGTGCGGTATGACGTGTTTTGTCGCCAGCGTTCGGCCGTCTTGTGCGTTCTTGTTGTCCTTTCTAGTCTCCACCCCTGGTGGCGGGCCCGTGTTGGCGACGAGGCCGACGGCGGCGGCGGCGGCAGCGGCAGCGGCGGCGGCGGTGTCCGCCCCGCGGCCTCGTCTCCTCTCTCCCTCGCCAGCAGTCCCCTCGGACGTCTGCACTCGGCTCCTTCGCTCGTTCACTGCGCCACGTACTGCTGCACCCCGTACCTGTCGAGCATGCTCCGCTCTGCATGCAGCTGCCCGCCGATCCGACCTTGCGATTGGCCTGCTCGTCTCCGCTTGGCCCGCTCCCTTCGGCTGCGGCGTTGTCGCACCCGCGAATCAGCAATCCGCCCCCCAGCGCTCCAGCAGTAGTGACCCGTTTCTTTCACGCTTGTCGCTCGCCAAAACGGCCTTTTGGCTTCTTCCTCGCGCACGGCCTCCTCGTCCTCGTTGCATAGGGCTGCCGAGCACACTTGCCCACCTCGCCCGGTCCCCCGTCATCTTCCGTCCTCGCCCTCGTCGTCGGCTGCTTTCCGGCCTGCTATCTTCGCCGCTGTCATCCTTCCCCTTCACCTCACTTCGCCGCCGTGTTCGAGCTGCGATGAGGTCTCGCTTCGGGATCTCTGTTCGTCCAACAGGCACGTGTCTCACTCCCGAACCACCGCTCCTGCATATCCAGCACGAGCCTGGCGGGCGGACGTGCTCGTCTTGCCTACCGCGGTCGTCTTCTCTCCCTCACTGAGCTTGTTGTTTATTCCTTTGGGATCATGGTTGTCGGCATAGCAGCGTTTTTGGGTCCGTGAAGCAATGGTACGTGACGAACATCCATCTTCTGGCACGTACTCAAGCTCTAACCGCCTGCCCCGTCTCCATTTCAGTCGCTCCAACTTCTTTCGCTCGCTGCCTCTCTCTTGGGTCTCTACTCCACTCGTTCCTGTGCCCAGTACCCTCCCCCGCTCAACTACACAGACGTGCTCCATTCGCCCCACAACTCGAACATCACCGTATCCTACAAATCCCCCGCCGTGGGAACATGCTCCACCATCTTCTCGACCCAACGCCAGTTCACCGGCTACATCAGCCTCCCCCCCGGCACGCTCTCGCCGGCCGTTCAGCAGAACTACACAATCAACACCTTCTTCTGGTTTGTCGAAGCCCGTCAGAAACCAGAGTCCTCTCCCTTGACCGTGTGGATGAATGGCGGTCCGGGCAGCAGCAGTTTGATCGGCTTCTTTACCGAGAACGGGCCGTGTGAGGTCGTCCAGACCGAGGACGGTAGCTACGGCACCCAGACGAGGCTGTGGGGCTGGGATCGCAGCTCCAACGTGCTGTACATCGATCAGCCTGTACAGGTGGGACTCTCCTACGACACAGCAACAAACGGCTCGCTGGATCTGATGCAGGGCAAGATCACAATCCCGCCGGCACGGAATGAAGGCATTGGCCCTGCCTATACCTACCTTAATGGCACCTTTTCGAGCCAGAAGGCATACGCTACGGCCAACACATCCCAGATTGCCGCCCGAGCCGTCTGGCACTTTCTGCAGACCTTTCTCAATGCGTTCCCCGAATACAACCCGGGCGTGCTGCCCAACAACGACACCACGAACCCCACCGGCGTGAACCTTTTCACAGAGAGCTACGGCGGAGAGTACGGCCCGGTCTTCGCTGACTTCTTCGAGTCGCAAAATGACCTCTTGCGCGTCGGCCAGCTGCCGGCCCAGTCCACGCTGGAGATCAAGCTCACTTCAGTAGGTATCCTCAACGGCCTTGTCGACTTCAAAGTCCAAGTGCCTTTCTTCCCTACATTTGCAAACAACAACACCTACGGCATCCAGGCCATCGATTCTGCCACTGCAAAGAACGCGTTGGCGTCCATGAATGCTCCGGACGGCTGTTTGGACCAATTGGATGAGTGTCGGAATTTGCAAGACACTCAAGACTATGCTAGCACAGGTGCTGTGCCGCTGGTCAACGACAAGTGCTCACGCGCGTATCAGACGTGCGCACAGTATCAGGACCTGATTTCGGGGTCCGGGCGCAGCGTGTACGACATTCGTCAGAAAGATCCCACTCCGGTGCCCTCGTTCGCGTTTCAGGAGTATCTCAACACACGCCAAGTCCAGCAAGCCATCGGCACCCCCATCAACTACACAGACGTGAACCCCGTCCAGTCGGCCTTCTTAGCCACCGGCGATCCTTTACGTGGCACTCAATTGCCCGCTCTGGGTCGGCTCCTCGCGCGAGGTGTCCGCATAGCTCTGATCTACGGTGATTCGGACTTTATTTGCAACTGGTACGGCGGGGAGGCCATATCCTTGAGTCTGGCTACCCTGCTTCCATCGTACTCGATTCCCTTTCCAAACGCGGGTTACGCCTCCATCGTTGTGAACAGCACCTACGTCGGCGGAGCAGTCCGACAGTACGGTAACCTGTCCTTTTCCCGCGTCTACGACGCCGGACACCTTGTTCCCGCCTATCAGCCTGAAACGGCGTTCACGATCTTCACTCGGGTCATACAGGGCACGGCGATATCCACGGGTGAGCTCATCGACTTGTCGAGCTACGCCACGACCGGCCCTTCATCCAGTACAAAAACCAACAAGGCGGGTGCCTCCCACGATCCAGTGTGTTGGATACGTTCCATCTCGGATACCTGCAGCGCCGACCAGCGCACACAGATTCTTGCAGGAAACGGCGTCGTCATAGACGGTGTATGGTATGCGAACGCAAATGACTACAACCCACCGGCAAGTAGTGTCGCTGCGGGGATTCCAGGGAAACCGGCTCCTAACGTGACCACAACAAGCGGGAGCCCGGCCTCGAGTCTGCCTCCCGTGACGGGCGTGTACACGGCCACGGGGACCCCGTCGCCATCTTCTGCGGCTGCTGCTTTGAAACCCAGTAGAGGCCATGAATCGGTGGCCGTCATCTCCTTGCTGCTCGCGGCATGTTACATTTATATGTGTACATAAATGGTGCGCACGAGGGCGAGGACAAAGATGAGAAAAAAAAAAAGCGAAAATCAAAAGTCAAAACCGCCCTCACATTTCCGGGCGACGCGAATATATCAGCATACGGCGATCTATGTAGGTTGCTACGAGTTTACGATCAGAGTCATGACGTGGATTCCGGACCTCTGTCATAATGAATGTCAAGTCTGTGGTAAATACACAGAATCTGTTGCTCTTTCGCCATCTCCCGCTGAGTTTTCTTAATCACTTCCGCTTCTTCCACCACATCTCCAATTGCTGCGTTCATATCGAAAAGGTTCTGTTGTTGGATAAGCGGCGATCTATCGCTACACGTGCTGCAAACTGCCCGTCCTTTTCGTCGTTACAAACTTCGTTCAAGTTTTGCTTTTTACATCGTGATGATGACCCTCGTCTTCATGGTAAATCTGTAACATCGGTCTAAATCCGTGACATATTGCATCCATCGCATTAGTGCGCGCACACCCGCTTGTGCTAACGCTGCAGATGACCAAGTTGTCGACGTTCAACATCGTTAGTTCAGTCGCGAGAGTCGTGCCGGAGAAAGCTGACGGATTTCTTTTCAACACCACGACATCTGCTGCCCCCGGCTAGAGAGACCAGGCATGAGCGAGTCCAGACCTCTGGTGTCGCCATCCTGCCAAGCATATATCATCTTCGCTTTTTTTGGCCTTAACTTCGGCGTCTAGCCTGTCTGTGTGATTGTAGCGCCCCTGTGGCCAGACTCCGGGAACGCTGCCGGACCTGTCTGCGCTAACGAGCCTTCACACCGCATTCAGGCTGCTCGCTTTTGCAGGATTGTGCGAGACTATGAGGGCCGATCTGTTCAGCCAGTACTCCGCATGTACGTCTTGTCACGAGCAGCGCTGGATGCGAGCCCCAACCTGGCTTTTGCCCGAATCCGGCGCTTTGGAAGTCCCAGATACTGCAAGTGCTTTCTAATGTGTAATCGTTTCCAACTTTCTCGGGTAAGAAAATTGGAGGTGCTCCCAGGGCATCGAAGCCACCTCGTCTTCGTCGGCTTACAGGATGGGAGGAGAGGCAGATGCGGCATGTCATAGCCTTCAAACCGGCAAACAATTGGCACCGTGTCTATCGACATATGCGTCCGATGACGAGCGCCCAATCCGTTATCGAGTATTTTGACCCCATGGCGTTGCATCAACTCTGGCAAGGAGGTTTTCGATGTTGTTTGAAGTACGCTTTCTGTGATAAAAGTCCTGTCGGATATCCATTAATGGTGTCACCCAGTGACAAAGCCTTGTGGCGATGGCCATACGGGACGCCATCATTCACAACCAAACCAACATATTGCTCACGAAAGGGCTCATTGTCGTGTTTACTGCTCTGGCTTCGCCACTGCTGATCACGTATGTCGATCTGGACGTCGTCGGGGTAATCTTGCTCGCAATCGAAGAAGGTCTAACGAGCTCTTGCACGATTTTTTCAGCGCAGGTACCGCTTTGTTCATCGCAAATTCTGCACTCCAGATCCTCTACGGCCGCTTCTCCGTCTTTTATGGCTGCAGAGTCATCTTGCCCAGCTGGCTCTTCCTCTTTTGGCACTTGCAGATCTTCTTTGCAGATTGACTTCCACAAGCCCGCAGTTGTATGCATTCCGCGGCATTGCGGGCTTGGCAGGTGAGGCATTATAGCTCTATAAATGATAATCATTTTCGACGTAACGATTTGATAGGAACCTTTTCCTAATCTGACAAGACTTTGCTAATGTAAGCCACTTCGGAAGGGATGAGCTTCCTAGAGCAATAGAGGAAGGGACTTTAGTAGTATATAGGAAGAAGGTAAATATACTATAGGAATCTTTATAACTTAAGATAAATAAACTTTAATAGATAGGAATAGATTTAAAAATTAATAAACTAGATATAGGGTCTAGACCCCAAATATGCAATAACCCCATATATGCAACACTAAACTGTTAAGCTATGCTTAACGTGATTCACAAGCTAGTGCGACACCCTACAGATATATTATATATCCTTATACTTATTAATGTTTTTCATAACAATATAACCCTCATACAATATAGAAAAAGAGGGTTATATTTCTTTAGCTCTTTAGGTATTTTTATAAGGTTAATTTTAAAGTTCACAAGCTGCAGCATATATATGTGATATTCCTAAAGATACCTTAATTTAATAATATTATAGTATACTACCTTAATATAATTTATATCATATAATTTAGAAACTAATTTTTATTAAGGAAGAGGTCCTTCTTTAATATATCCTTAATCTTAATAACTAAGGATTTCCTCTAAGAATAGCTATTATATAAGAAATCGTGAATATCCTTCTCGCAAACCACAACGTGTCACCCCTAAAAACAGTTAGTAAGAATTAGGTTACTAACTTTATTAATTAATATAAATTACTTTATATAATATATAATTAAAAGTATAATTACTGGCGCGTATAATATAAAGATCTAGTTCTTATCTAAGGCTGGTTCAGCTTTATATAAAACTGTTAGGAATATCTTCCTGTTACGAGGTAACACGTGAATTGTCATGTGAGTGCAGTTCTGATTATTTTGATCATTTTCTGGAAAATAATCAAAATAAGTGTATTAGCTAATGGTTAATAGCTAGGGTATCACTAATTAGTAGAAGTAATTATTCTGCTTATTCTAGGTAAAATAAATAGAATAAGTAAGGTAATAAGGATACTAAAAATAAGGTCTATATAAATATCTTATCTCTATTAGTATTACACTTCTTTATAATTTAACTATCTAGTTTATCTAGTAATTAGTTTAAATATATTCTTATACTCTTAAAGCTTATACTATTCAAAATTATAAATATAATTATCTTATTATATTCCTTCTATAATAAATTCTAGTTATACCTTATTCCTTTACTCTAGAAAGCTAAATACTTCTAAAATAGCTTATATTAGTAAAGCTAGTTAATATTAGGAAAGTATTTCTAATAAAAGTTAAATTACTAAGTTATTAGATAGGGTAAAGAATAATATCTTATATTTACTATTTTTAAGAGAAGTAATAGAAGTGTTACAAAGTAATACGTGAGTTGTCACATGAGTGATTATTTTGATTATTTTTGGGAAAATGATCAAAATGAGCGTATCAGCCAATGGTTGACAACTAGGGAGGTGCTGATTGGTCAGAGTGATTATTCTGATTATTTTATTAAGAATAATTAGAATAAGTAAGGCAACAAGGATAATAGGAGAAGAGTCTATATAAATATCTTGTCTCTACTAGTATTGTGCTTCTTTGTGATTTAACTATCTAGTTTACTTAGTAGTTAGTTTAAATATTTTCTTATACTCTTAAAACTTATACTATTCTAAGTTATAAATATAACTATCTTATTATATTCCTTCCATAATAAGCTCTAGTTATACCTTATTCCTTTACTTTAGGAAGCTAAACCCTTCCGAAGTGGCTTATATTAGTAAAGCTAATTAATATTAGGAAAGTATTTCTAATAAAAGTTAAATTACTGAATTATTAAATAGGGTAAGGAATAATATCTTATATCTACTATTTCTAAGAGAAGTAGTGGAAGTCAATAACAGTCTGGTCTATTAAAGAAGAAGGTTAAGGTTACTTTAAGTACTAGTACTGCTAGATTATTAGTATATAGAATAGTAGTATTACTACCTTTATTATTACTAAGAGATCCGGAAATCCTACCAGACGTTTAATTATCTGATAATTCTGATTCATCTGATTTAAATTCTGATTCTAGAAGCGAAAATCTATTTAACAATAATATAGTTTAACCAAAAGTTAATCTACCTAAACTGTCATGGGGTCACCCCTATGACACGTGATTGGCACCTGTTAGGAATACTTTCCTGATACCGACTAGCTTCACTAATGTAAGCCACTTCGGAAGGGTTTAGCTTCCTAGAGCAGAGGAACAATGTATAACAAGAGCTTATTGTGGAAGGAATACAATAAGATAGTTATGTTTATGACTTAGAATAGTCTGAGCTTCAAGAGTATGAGAATGTATTCAAACTAACTACTA